GGAGGTGGGGGTGAGAGCATGATAAACATTTGCCTAAACATTCTCAAGCTTGTAGGCAAACATGTAAAGAGAAGCCCAGATGACCTCACCTCCTTTCCTGTACTAACACATCCATTTACCTCCTGGATGAGTTCTCGCCCGATCATCTTGAAAAGAATTATCCGAGTGCGGGGATCAAGTACTTGCTCAGATGTGGCACGATCTGACTTGTCCTTCGCGTTTGCATATGAACTAGGACCTTTTCTATTCACGCTAGCTCCCATGACGTACAGTTGATCAATTTTAGCAATGCGAGACGAGTACTTGGAGAGAACAGCCAGTTGATCGACAATTTTGTCTTTTGCATGCGTAGGAACCGTACTGCGTGGCTTATTTACCGCAGGAAGAGGTGCAACGACAGCTGTGTGATTAATGGAAGATGCGATTCCCTGTGCGTTGCCAGTGCGTACAGCGACATGCTGCCGAAGCCGGTTATATTGTTTGGTAAAATCTAGGACGATCAAACATTGGTGGTCGTATGGGTGAATATAACTCACCCCGCTCTGCGACCTCCCAATCTTCATCACATGCTCTGACATCTTCAAAGTCATCTTCGTTTAGTTCGTCTCCGTCATTATCTTCCGAACTTTCGTCAGACCATAGGAGATGGTGTTCGTCGTCAATGAAGTATCCGCCTATGCGTAGATCTCGCTGGTCGTCCACTGCTAGGATAGCGGTCTCAGAAGGAGCATCGTCAAACTGCCCCTCCACGATGGCGGACTGGTTCGAAGCAGACATGCCGTGGTTTGAAGCAATCGATAATTCACTACTTTCAATAAAGTTTAAGCAGGGTTGATAAGATATTAATAAAACGCACGTGACCCATCTGTGGACTTATTTGGTGCTAGCTACTAGCTTCAACATCAGGTAACCGACCCGAAAAAGATAAATTCTTAGCAAGCTTTATCTAATCCAAAATCTGCATAATATCTATCAGAATTATACCCCACATGACAAAGCTTTGAATACCCGGACTTAGTTGGACAGAACCCGCCGAGTGTACAATTGTGAGTCTAGTTGCAATCACCTACCAGCCTATTGCCGAGATGATACATGTTGCAACACCCACCCACCATTGCAAAGCAAGATTAAGTCGTCGAGAGCGACCACCGTCGCCTTTTTGAGGACCAGCAACAATGACACTACAACTCTGCCCTTCACCGGTGATGGTATGTAGCTTTTGATTGTTTTTATTTTCTCCATAATCTCTCAACAAATTTCAGTGTTAGACAAAGTTTTAGATGGCCGGACTGTGTTGGACCAACACTGCCAATGGCCCATGGGCGGTGAGCGTCTACAATGTATTGCCAAGCTCCCTCGATTCAGCTTGTAATTGCACCCCCAGCAAAATCTCTCTCGTCACTGATGTTAGATATGTAGTTGTAATGCTAGTCTGTGTTGCTCAGATCTACTAACTACACAATTCAGGCAATGAGTAGTGATGCGTTGACATTCTACCAAATTTCGATAAGAATTTATATTGTCATATTATGCTCCGCATACTCTCTCTAAATGCTGGAGCCTTCCAAGGCCAGATTGCTTTGGTTGGGGGTTACTTTTGTCCCACGGTGCGGAGGCTTGACAACGGTGTAGTGCCTTCATCAGCTGATTGCTGAGGTATAGTCCTCCCATGTAACGTGAGAGAACCAATGTGCTTTCCGCAAACTCTCCCAGGATGACGTCGCCAGATAGAGTCATTGAACCAAAGGCTGCGTTGTGCCAAAGGCGCCAGGACGCTGATACCGGTAACCATCAGCATGCAGCCAAAATATAGCTATAGCATGCAATCTTGGCTTTCTCAGATCTTATCCTGCAGAGCGTGCTTGAATACTGCAAAGAAGACAGATGCGGCATGCAATGGCAATGGCTACTATTTTCCAGCAGTATTACATATTCGTTCTCATCCGATCACTTCGATGGTTTACAGAGGCCACAGCAGGTCATCATTGGGTAACATCGTACTAAGATTGTATACATGTAGACTACAAAGGGACATTTGTAGCCTGTTTGAGGGCAACACACTTTTGTCGGATCTTGAATAAGGCGCTGTTGACACTGATAGCCCTCTTGGCAGCAAAGGAGGTAGGAAAAACTTGACTGAGCAATGTATTAGCATTGTAACTACATAGTGAAGGGTGATAGAAATACCGATTCCACCAGGTCAACAGCTCATCAACTTCCTTGAATTCCTCAGGGTCTTCTAACAGATCGAGGAAACTATGATAAAACGTTTCTGAGTCTGTTGTTGTGTCGGTCCGCGAAAACACTGAGGATGAGCTCAAAGTGAATCGCACCTTCAGCTGTACATTAGAAACTCTCCGTTGCAAAAGGATACTTCACAAACCTGAGTTGCGATGTATGCAATAGAAGCGATGGTGACGGATTTCATCCCGTGGAGACGAGCGTTTCTGGATCGTGTAGCTTTCGGCTCTCTGTCAACTGAACTCGGAGAGGTGAAAACATGCTTGTAGGCCTGATAGAATACCATACAGTGAATGGACTCTATGAATACGAGTGCATACTCACACATACTAGTAAGCGGCTTCTGAGAAGGCCGCACCACGGGTCTTCAGGGTCATAAATGTGGTGGGTGTACAAGAAAATGGGCCATTGATCCCCACAGACCAGTATTTCACCACTTCGCAAATTCTCCTTCGTCCTGTTTACAAAGAGCAAAAGGAATCAGATTTTTGATGTTAGCTCAAACTGAAACATACTGAGGGTCGTTCCAGTCCAGCCCAGCAGGACAGAGGAGAGATCCAGTAAGTGGATGGTTGAAACCGCGGTCGATTTTGGAGTTACAATGTAAAGGAGGCTGTATTGCTTCACCCTTCGGGGTCACCCAATCGAGTACCGCAGACTTTAGTGTTTTTGTGTCGTCGCCTCTGGCACCCGCCGCTCCCCTACCAATCTGTAAATCATAAGTAAGAACTGCATGGACAGATAAAAGTGTACCAGCTCTCCAACATGAATGATTTCCTCCTCAGACCCATCCTTCAGTCGCTCCAGAAGGCCGGGATAGGAGTCCAACAGCTGCTCAAAGACGCGATGTTCCCGCCGCTCTCTGCCAAGCGCATCAGCAAACAAGTAAGTGGGAGAGATGAACGTCCTTGACTCAGCAGAGAAATACTCTAATGGGGTGTCTTCCATTTGCTCCAATCTCAGGATACCATTGGTGAGCAAGGAAGGATAATTACAAAGCGCGAATACCGTTCGACCAAAGTGGCGTCCATGGGAGACAAGCGGATCAGACGAGGAGCTGAGAGGTAAAATGAGTCTACAAAACCTGTGGTTAACATAGGAACATCTTACGCCTTTTTTCAAGGCCCCATTTGAAGAGCTGATGAGCCACATTTGCTCGGAATGCTGGGGGTGGCCTCCTGGGTAGCCATGATAGTTGGGGAGGAAGAATAGACAACCCGGGCTTCACCGGTACTGAATGTAGCTTTTATCCCTTGCGCTACGTGATGTTTGGGGGAAACTGGCGCTGAGAGGCCACTGTAAATGGCAGCAATGGCCCAGAGAAGAATTGGCCAAGGTGGCCAGGGTGAATCTGGCCCAGCCCATTGACGGTGTGCCGTGATGTATCAACCTTATACTAAGATGGTCAGCCTGAAAACCAATAGCTAAGCAAAAGCGTGGCTGGTATAGGGCTCTTTCGAACTTACACCTCGTTGCATCTCACAACTAGAAAGCAGCATCCGCCATGCCCACTATACTGCAGCCCTGACGTCAAACCTATGACATCCAAGGGGGACTGGCGGAAAGTGGACACTTGGCCCAGAAAAAAAATGGCCGAGATGGCCAGGATGGTTCCGGCCCAACCTGTCGATTGTGTACCTCGATGTATCAACCTTGTGCCAAGATGGTTAGCCTGAAATCTCATAAGTAAAAGCACGGCAGGAATATAACACCCTTGAACTTGCATCCAGTATTCTGCAACTACAACAAGACAGCGCATCCGCACAGCCCAATATGCCACAGCTCTGGCGTCAGACCACACTGCAAAGACATATTATCAACTTGAACCTTCGGTAAATCTGATGCGCCTACCTGGCGGCAGTATGTGCTGATGCCTTTGCCTAGGATAGAATTGGTGGACAACACTAATGAAAGCGGCGAGGAAATTGCCAGCGTAAAGGGTGCCAACACTATCAACAATTCTCAGAGCCCACCGAAGACTAGCAAGGCAAACTTTGATGACAACGGCCCCTCAGTACGGAATGATGAGGCTCCGCCTCTGGCAGTGAGAGAATATGAAAATGGCGAGGTGGACTCCATGGTGGAGCTCAAAGAGAGACTGCAGCTTGCGGAGAAGAACTGCTCGAGGTTGGAAGAGCTGCGTCAAAAGTACAGACTTCATTGGTTGGAGGAAAATTATTGAGCAAGAGTATTGGAAGAATACGCACCAAATGGAATTGACACCTGCCCTCCCCACCAGATTGCATGGGATGCTCCCTCTCCCGCTCAAAGTACACCGGATGCGCGTTCCCTTGAAATTAACTGACTGCACTGCCCAGGTGAATACAACCTCGAAGTTGAGGACGAAAGGTAAATACAGAAGGCATATCACAGTGTTCAAGTTGTGCTGCTGCACAAAATTGTGGTTTATAGGATCAGAGGATGCGGGAACACCGGTGGAATATTTAGATGTGAGAAATGACGCAAGCATTTCTCTTTGGGTCAGCACTTGGCCAGGTCCCAGGATGGTACTTTCAGCCTGTATAGCCAAAGGATCACATGATTATGTATCGGCTGATAAGACAATTGAAGTATTGTTGCACTTGCACTTAGAATTCAATATTCAATATTTAAGGTGCAGGTAAGCTACCCATCCCAGCATGCTGATGACGTAAAGGGCTAACCGGGTTGCAATCGAGGCCGGCGTGCCCTGCTTGAAACCTTCCTGTAGGTATAACGCTTGTACGTGTCCAGTTTAACCTATTGTCAAGCAGTCCGTAATGTGGTATCTCCTTACAGGTTCTGATGTTGTCTTCTTCTCCACTCCTCCTTTCCATGGTAGGATTCCCAAACATTCAACTTTTATTGATGCTTACTAGCTACCTTCTAGGAACCCTAACTCGCTATCACTTGCACTCTGCTGAGTGGCTACACCGTTTGCCTGATTCCCTTTTTTTGAAGAAGGTTCTCTTTGCGAGCCTCTGGCTGTAGCTCTCGCAGGCATCAAGCGTGTTGGTCTCCACCTTGGTGACCCCACTTTGATCTGGTGTGTTCGCATTAGGAATTTCATGTTATGATATATAATTGATTGACATTTGGACCGATCGGTCTCGTTTCTCCTCTTTCGGCACGTGCTGCAGGCGCCGAGCCCAAAGTTGTAATCCGATCTGTTCCAGAACCGCCTCGACTTTGCAAAGAAGCTCGTTCCTGGTGTGTGTACAGTACTGATCGAGTGTGATTTGACGCCAAAGGACGTGACCCAAAAGATCAAAGCTGCCGCTAATGGCCCTGAGGTTGCGATTGAGTGCAGCAGTGTGAAGAGCAGTGTGCATACTGCAGTACATGTAAGAAACGCTGGAGTCGTCTATGCCGTCAAGAGTCTCCGCTTATGCTGCATGGTACCCAGGTAACACAATTTGGTGGAAAGGTGTTCATCATTGGCGTCGGCAAGAACGAACAAGTGGTATGTAAAAGCCCAAAATTTTGTCACACTCAATTTGCCATACTTTCAGTTCCCGTTCATGCACCTGAGTGCCAATGAGATAGATGTTAGTTTCCAATACAGATATGCTAACCAGGTACATATGCTCCCTTCTGCAAGAATTTCGATATGCTCACCATATGTGATCAGTACCCTAAAGCTATACGCCTTGTCGCTGGCGGTCTGATCAACTTGAAGCCTCTGAGGGGCCGGCGCCGCCCCCGCCTGGTTAGGCATCGATTTAAACTGAAGGATGCTGTCTCTGCCTTCCGTGTCACTGCAGACCCTTCTCAAGGTGCGATCAAGGTGCAAATTCAAGACTAGAACATGGCGGCTAGTGGTAAATGTAGAAGCTTTTGCATTGACAGCACGACCCTAAGTACTTTATCGCACTCACAAGTCACTGTCTAGTACTGTCAAGGTGTCAAGTCTCTATGTGTTTGATGCTTTAGCACATGCTGCCCGAAGTTATGCCACAAAGCGCGGTATCACCGGTGACACAAATTTGAGCACTGGAAACGCTGCCACCTTCCTATTCAAAAGTTGAAGGTGTTTTAGATGGTCTGTTCCAGGACATGACTGCGCTTGATAACGGAAGCGAAGGTAAGAGACGAGTAGATCCACTTCACAGACACAGGTCAGGCGTACTATGTCTGGGACATCCATGTCGTCAGTGACTTGTACTCCAAGCAACGTGATTGCATAGCCTGATGTTGCTGTAAATGTGCCCTCAACTGACTGGCTCATATCTTCGAGTACCGATGCTGCCACAAACATATATTATTTTGCTGTTCTCTCCTTCGATGTTACAACACGGCCGGCTTACATCAGGAAAAAAAACAAAGTTTGCCATAACTTTTGAATTTGGAGTTTTGCGGTGCCCGTGATGTGTAAGCTAGTCTTGGTTGCATCATGCACTTTTCAGAAGTGCCGCGTTTCAAATTTCAAGCCTCGAGTCGTCCAAGATCTTTACTGGTGAGTTGCCCGTTCTCAGAATGGCATGTACTCAGTGCAATAACAGTGATCACGGGAGCTTTCTAAGCATGCCCTGAGGGCAACGTGATAGCCTTGCAGCTTTTTTCTATAAACCCTCGCGTTTATCTTATGCTTTGCAGAGCTGAAATTTGACAACCTCTCTCCGAGTATTTGTTGTACAGTGCTGATACTATGGTGATATTTGCTCTCTGATTGGGTTCGTGCTCTCTTTTTATCTCTGGTTTTATCTTCAATTCAAACACTTGGCCATGATAGGTATTATCCAGCGCTCGTATTAAAAATGTGTGTTCAAAACGTATTCTAGCTGCAAAGAATCACGCACACTTCGTCAAGAACCCATATTCACAGTTCCGTAATGGATGGACGGTTGAACAGGTCCTACAAGCACCTAAGATTACTGCTCAACTCACGAAGTTCATGTGCAGTCCTACATCGGTAACGGTCCTCCCGTTCTCAAGTACTCAATACTCACCATGCATCAGGATGGTGCAGCCTGCTGTATCATTGCATCAGAAGACTTTGTACATGCCCATGGATTGGAGAATCAAGCCATTGAAATAGTTGCGCAAGGCCTTGAGACGGACGACCCTGCTGCGTATGATACTAAAAGTGCTATGGAGGTTGCCGGCTACGGGATGTCGAAGCGATGTGCTGACAATGTATTTAAAGACGCTGGCTTTGCTGATGGTGAAGGACGCGACTTGGTTGGCGTGGTTGAGCTGCATGACTGTTTTTCCGCAAACAAAGTAAGTACGCCTTTCCTCACATAGTCTGGCGCATGACCCTCCCTTAGCTCATTACATATCCTGCCCTTGGACTTTGTGCCCCTGATGAGGCCCATAAGATGGTCGAAAGAGGTGACAATACGGTCAGAGTTTTCTTTTTCAGTTGGGAAGTAACTGAACATTCTGTAGTATGGCGGCAAGTATGTTGTAAACCCGAGCGGCGGTCTTGAAGCCAAAGGACATGCACTCGGGGCTACTGATCTGGGTATGCATTTTTATATAACAAGTGAGCATTCTATTAAGTTGGTGATATTGTTCTCATCACATTGGCAGTGCAATTGCATAATTGTTAGTGTGGCAATCAATCTGTTTGCTTTTCGTCGTATTCCTAATGCAATTGATGTGTAGTGGCATGCAAGCACCTGGCTTATTCGACATCCCGGACAAACGGGGAAAATTCGGTCTTGTTCACAATATTGGTATTGGGGGTGCAGTGGTCGTTAGTCTACTCTGCAGGCCTGAGTTTTACAAAGCAGGGGGTATTGACGGCCAGGCTAGGTAAGCATACCCTTATTTTTAACATAGTCCACTAACCTGCGATATACCAGACTGGGATACAATCACGCTTATGAATGCCGGCCTGTTACGCTTGCAGATATCGACAAAGTTAAGTCGAAGAAATCATCGAAGTTTGTTCTTCAGCATGCAAAACTTTGAAAAGCCTATGAAATATTTTCTACGCGACCCCGGTCCTCGTGACCTCTTCATTCCTAGTTTTATTTCGTCTCACTTTTTATACTTATCTTGTGCTTTCTCTTTAGGTCTTTACTGCTTGTCTTCTGGCATTCTATCCAGTACAACGTCGACGGTGCGCATCACCTGTATCGTATACTACATCTCCATCACATCATTGCACTGACACAATTTGTACTTTGCATGCGAATCAGGCTCATGAAAATTCATTCGAGCTTGAGCACTATCAACGGGTGCACCTGTATCGCACTCAACGATGGCAGCTACATGGCTCGTTGGTCCAGACATATCGCTCGACTGGGATCTTGCCCAAGATATCGAGTCCACTGGAAACGGCTTCTGATCCCATTCTCACGTGTCGTCCACTGATACACTGGAATCCTCAGAATCTGTCGATCACATTGACATTTTTTTTTTTGCTTCAGCAGCCAAAATTCTGAATATGTTGAGTGGAGTAGGTGTTACATTGTGTATTGTACATTCGTCCGATGTGCGCAGCCGCTTAACTCATCCCTAGTCTCTTAGAACTTCCCTCTTCATGCGTATGGTCTAAAATACTCGTAAGTCCGTTCGGAATTTCATGTTTTGAACCAGCTTACCTGGCAGCGCTAACGCGCACCTCTAAGTCCCAGAAGGTATTCTAATTCTCGCATCTCCATCTCGAAAATTCGGCGCTCCCTAGCAATCCAGAGCACCAGCATCGCGCGCGTTTCTTCTGACCAGTGCGGAGGCTGAGGATGGGGCTGAATTGGCAAGTCGGGGTGATACAGTTGTTGGCGCACACGGAGTCGTGCGCCGGCCCATGTAACGTACATAAGTTCCTTCAAGAATGTTAAAATCTTACTTTTTGAATGAGTCGTTACTCACGTGTTGTCCTTCCGTCAGCGTGAACTGCACATTGCGAGGCCTTGGTATGATTTGCAAATCGCGTTCAGGAATCTGTCGAGAGTCGGTGAGCAATAATTGTCAGAAAATATTCAACATACCTGGTGATCACGGTTCCCATTTTGATTGCCATCTCCTCCATTTTGATTACTGTCTCCTCCATTATCATTAGCGTTATTGTTCATGCTAGTAGTAGAGTAGTAAATATAAAATTGAATCTATAGTGAATATGCTTACTTTCGTTGCTTTGACTTCTCGCATCTAAGAGCACATCCCGATTTGGACGAAAGTATATCTCCGGCATTTTCTGGAACGGCGCTACATGACACATCTTGATAAATGGTATGTTTATTAAACGATCATAGTCATAAGGCCACGTGATCATATCCTGAGTGTACTGGAAGTATCCGCGCCACAATTCCAAAACTCTAACCAGGGTCTGTATCCCGGCGTCTTTGGTAAAAAATGCACGTGTGATGTTCGAATATTTCCCGAAAAACAATGAACATTGCTAATAAAAGCGAAATGCACAGATTCGGTGCCTGGCGGATGATCAGTTGCAGGACGTTAATCGCTGTTAGAACTTGAGGAGTCTGCTTGGTCTGTTTTCTGTCAATGTATGTTTCTCTGACTTAGGTACAATATCTGTGCGACATTATCTATGTATTGTATGTATTGTACTCATTGTCAAATGTCGCGTCGAGGTGTTGATGACATCATGCTGAGATTCGTCACATGTTGTTTGTTGTATATCGACAAACTGTTTGCTACCAATTGATCTATCGTCATTTCTTGAACTTCGAAGTTGCAACGTTGAACGTTGAAACATTGAAGCTTGAAATCGGGGACTAGCGCTTCCCAGCGCTGCTACGATTGAGTATAGCAAATTGAGAAATTGAGATACCAGCCTAATTTTTTGAAGTATCCTCAAAGCCGGTCACGACACATCATTCTATTGAAGCCACACTACTTTACACGGTCGATACAATAATTGGTACAAAGATAGAATAAGTCATGGCGGCCAGTGCCCTCACAAGGGCTAAATATAAATAAATGCAGTTTCGCGCAGAAAGAATAATCCAGACAATTGGCACTACCAAACTTTCCAGCCATCGTCATCGTCAATGTTCTCGTCATGATGACTCACATTCCTGGGAAGTATATGTCGTGGGATGATTTGATCCCAGGATGTTCGTGAACCTGCAATATCATCAGTGGTGGAGGATGGTACGACCTGTTTTTGCTCACTATGGTCACAGTTAAATGCGTGTGTATTTTCAATAGCTAATGTATATAGCTCTATCTCAGCGTGGACGTGATGCCTCTTGGCTTGCAGGATGAGTAGATCCAGCCCAGGATTGCGTAAATAGGCGTTGCTACGCCTCGCAACAAGAGATTTCGTCATCAGGTCTGACTGCATGTCCAGCTCAGTTTGGAATGCCTTGAAAAAGGTATCTTGGACGTCAGCGGTGATCCATGTACTGAGCAGGAGTGATGGAGGGCCAATATGCTATAGAGACAGACAGTTGAGCATGGCTTAACAGAAAAATACATTACTGACGTGCAAGTTATTGGACATTGTTCGTCTGTCCCACGCGGCGGGAGGCGGACCGAGAACCGAAGGGGTGGAGCCTTCCAAAGGTGAGGAATTTCTGACTGAAGGCTCCGCAGCTGGTTCGAGGTGCGCGCCGTTTCTCGTTAGCCAAGCTTTATACATCTCTTGCGTAGCAATCCAGCAGGCCAAAGGTGCGCAGGGTAATGGTGCGCAGGGTAAATGTGCAGTTGCATGCTTCAAGGTTGCTGAGGGGGTCCTGATATTGTGCTTGGATAGAACTCCCATATATGCTACAGAAGGAGTATTCAGATCGTATCTCATCTGAAGATCAATTAAACTTACGCATGCGGAGTTGTTCCAAGTTTTCGATAGCCTGGGAGTACAAAGACACCTCCATTTGACACTGTTTCTTCCTCTCTTCCATGAGAAATCGCTCTACAATCACATGCCTTCCCTCATTCACACCCCCACAGGTGATCTGGTGTCGGCGTAAGCTTTCCTCCTGCTTCGCCTCTATACTGCGCTCCCCAATCAGTTCCCAAAGATCGCCAGTATAAACTCGATCTTTGAGCAAGTAGGCCAGAATGTATAGTTCAGTTTGGAGCTACGGAAAGAATAAAAATCAGTATATGCATATTATCATGATCAACTGACCTTCTGGTTTGCTATGAGTCCCACGTAGGCATTGATGAATTGAGTGCCCAATAAGTTAGATAGTTCAAAAGTGCTTGCACGGGCAGTGGAGTAGTCAAACAGCTCTGGTGAAAGACAGGCCAACATCATGCATGCTCCTGACTGCTGGTAGTAGGGAAGGCGTACAAGCAGGTGCGTGAATCAACACTGGCTTATTTATACTACTAGTAAGTGATGGGTGAGTGGATGGTGAGAATCTCGAAGAATCCTGGGAATCTTCAAGTAGCTATGTAGTACGTGCATGTAGTGTATGCTCCTACCTGTGAGAACAAATAATGATCTGGCCATCATGATTTGATTTGGTGGTACAAAAGGCGTCTAGCTGCCTCCAAGTGCTACTGGCCATACCTCATGCAGCATTTCGCCATCTTGAAGCAGCACTATCACTATTAATACTTAGGTAAAATAAAATAAATAAATATTTACTATGATTGTTGTTATTGTAAACAGTCCGATTTCAAGTTGTCAGGAACAAATCAAACATGTACGACCCAGGACCTGTTATATTAAACACACCAGCATCATTTCACGATCGCACAAGTATTTGCATCCATCAAGTCAAGCAATAATATGACGATGACGGTCCTTCTGCACCCCTTTTGAATGGCAGACATGGCGGTTCCTGACTCCTACTCGCAATACCGTCTCATCAATACCCGAATGAAACCCTCATCTACTATGGGTACATCGGGTGTGCCCTGATGTATCCTTCTGTTGCCATCTCGCTTCGTACACTCGCTGCCTACCGTCAGTCGCACCGAACGTGTCCCCAGTTCAGTATCCAATCACAATGCAAGACTTTATGTTACCTTCACGATGTACGTACATTCCTCACATTGAGGTTCGTTTATTTACATTGAGTTTGTAGATTCCATATTGGCCATACTTAAAAATGCAATTCTCAGCAGCCTATGACATTTTTCTAGAAATCCTCCATCGCATCAACCAGCATGTGCGTCAGGCGCTCAAACAGGATACCGTCAACTGGTGTATGTTAAACACATGCCCTGCATGCTTTTACAAGCTCAACGATGAACCTGCCCTCGATTTTGAATGGCTGGTATCAATTGACAGTAACAATAGCCTGAAGCGATGGGACTCGTCCATCTATGGTACCACCGCCCGATCTGATTCTCGCACAGCTCGTTCGGATTATTGGATTCATGCTGACGCTGTTGACAAGTTTGAGAATGAAGTCAAATCCCGACAAGCGAAGGAGGTTGACGATGAAGGCACGAGGGAGGTGGGAAACAGCAGGAACGAAGGAGGTTGACGACAACGACAACAAAGGCGGAACAATGGGGGCACAATGGAGGCGGGGAACGGCAGGGACGATGAGCACAGTGATGAGGAGAGCTAGGAAGCGTGAGAAGGGCCCCTTGGTTCGAATTAGGAAGCGTAGCAGGCGTTGCCGAGCATGCCGAATTAAAATAGGAATATGATGCAATCGAGGTGGGGCGGGATGCTTACCGAATATAGCCTATGTGCGCGCGCGCGCGCGCATGCCCACCATAGTGAGGTGTACATAGTTTTTTTGAAGGTATTTTGAGGAGCTGGGGCACTATTTAACGCTGGTGTAGGGATTTGATGAAACCAAGCCTAATTATAGTTGGCAAGACACGTAACTACCAAGTATAATAAGGCTTATTAATAGGGCAACCCAGGTGCATCTATGTTGGTTTGCGTCACATGCGCGTCACGTCGTGTCACGGCCGTGTCACGACCGCGGCAGGCGCAGCAGGACCGCGTCAAAATAGCTACGCCCAATGAGACTTGTTTCTTGTAACTTGAAAAGATGCCAATCAGACTCATCTCAAATCACCAGTGAACCTATGAACATATTTCATAGTTGACAGCAATTGATTCTGGCCTATCGATATGAAGGTAGCTGTAAGCTGCAAAAGGAATCGGAGGTTTGACTGATGCTGGGCTTCCCTAGCAGACATACAGTAAGGCTCACAGGCAATCTTTTATGTGAGTTCATCGTAGTACTGCATTGTTTACATTCTCACAACTTCATATCCCTTGTCCCATCCTATAACACAGATATCGATTCAACGGAGTCCGAATTAGACGCTGCAGAAACTAAGCCACACTCCCTTTGGAACGTTAATCCACACCCAGGACTTGATCACCTCGACCGCCGTCCCAGTCTTCTTCAATGTTCAGCCTGTAGTGAGCTTTTGTCTCACCCCAACGCAGGCGCCACAAATCCACCTCCGTCGGTTATGGAACGCGTTTTGCAACAGGTCTGCCTTGCAATACCTTGTCATGTCCAGCTAACGCTCATTGAGCAGGTTCTATTCGCGAGGAATCCACAAATCACCGCTTTAGCGTCTCTTCCAGCGAGGCGGGAGATCTAGATGCAAGTGTCTTGTCCATTGCCCCGCGCCCACGGTCGGCCTCACGGGCTGTATCTGGTTCGCGTGATGCAAACAGTAGCATGTCGCCGACGGGGAGAGCTCACAGCCTGGGTAGCCGGCTGAGGACTGTGAAGGATAACACAACATCTACTGGAGATACCATCTGGACCGCAAAGGGCAGCTATGCCTTGGATGCCCGGCTACTTCTTCAAGTGAAAAATTACCAACCTTTACATCACTTTATCCTCGCTGAAATCTTATGTGGAGGTCAATTACTCTGGCTTCAGCAAGATTTTGAAAAAGTGAGTTGGTTCTATCTGGTTCGCGCAATATTTGTTGAAAGGGTTTCTCCAGGTATGACAAAGTCGTGTATGGCGAAGTATCTAGCATTTTATCGTACCTCGTTCATTCGTAGCTCATTATTTTCTTCAGCTCAAAGACCGTTACATGCACGAAGTTGTAGAAACCTCTGCACCCTTCACGGAAGAGTCGAAAGCCAGAATGTCAGATGCCATCTCCCGACTCACCGAGCTCTATACCAAATGCATGACAAATGGAGACAAGTCGACAGCACAGCAGCAGCTGAAACTATACCAGCGCGAACACATTGCATGGGAGCGGAATACGGTCTGGCATCAGATGATCGGGCAACAACGACACGGTACTATGAACGGATTAGGTGCTCTCATGGGCGCTACGCTGGTGCAACAGGAAGAAAGCAGCCTTATTAATGTCCCGACTCCTCTCGGAAGTCTGAAGTTGACAAAGAAGAGGGTGTCACTCGCTGCTGCGCTAGTTGTGTTCATTGCTTTACTGAAGATAGACATCGTTGTTGGTGAAGAGGCCAATAAGTGTTTTGCCATACTTGCATTCAGCACTATATTGTGGGCAACAGAGGTGCGAAATGTGCTCCAGCTTCCATTTCTTACTTACCTTCGTATTTAGGCGATACCGTTGTTCGTGATGTCGCTTTGCGTCCCCCTCCTGTTGGTATGCTTACGGGTTATACGTGATGACAATGACACTGCCTTGTCTACGCCTGATGCAACAAAGTAAGTTGTCTGAAATCACCCTCTCGGAGATACTGAGTACACGATCCAGGTATATATTCTCTGTTATGTTCTCGCCCACAATCATGCTTCTGATCGGAGGATTCACAATTTCATTGGCTTTGAGCAAAACCAACATAGATCGGATTTTAATCACGAGAGTTCTGAGCTTGGCAGGTTCAAAACCTAGTTCCGTGCTTCTTGCCTTCATGGGCGTCTCCTGTTTTGCGAGTATGTGGATCAGGTAGGCCACGTTTATTCCCGTCACTCACGTGTCGCTAACGTGTTTCAGTAATGTTGCAGCTCCAGCATTGTGCTTCACTCTCATCCGAGTAAATGATATGTGTCCTATGTCCGCAGCAACAATTATCTGATTTTTACTGTCTTCAGCCGATCCTGAGAACGCTGCCCCCTGGTTCGGCTTTTGCACCAGCACTAATAGTTTGTTATTTACCATGTGCGGGAGCGACTACTCATGACCCCTACAGCTCGCTATCGCCTTGGCCGCTAACATAGGTGGTCAGAGCTCCCCGATATCGTCTCCACAGAATCTGATTGCCCTCATGGCGATGGATCTTAAACTCGATTGGGCGAGTTGGTTTGCTGTGGCACTTCCGGTGTCCATAATTTCTATCTTGCTCATCTGGCTGCTATTGCTTGTGATGTACCGTCCTGCTCGTTCGCCTGACGGGGAAGGAGAGATTGAGATACGGACTATCCGCCCAACAAGGGAATCCTTCACCCTCAAGCAGTATTGGGTTACGTTCGTCTGCTTATTCACGATTACTCTCTGGTGTTTTGAGCACAAAATCGAGGGTCTTTGTGGGAGATATGGGTGTTATTGCTATCATCCCGATCGTCGCCTTTTTTGCCACTGGTGTGCTGAAAAAGGTGTGCTGAATATATCGGCGATATTGATACTAACCCACATGTTCTCAAGGGTGACTTTGAACAATTCGCCTGGACAATTGTTTTCCTCGCAATGGGCGGAATCGCTCTTGGCAAAGGTGTTACTTCCAGTGGTTTGATGGTGACTATGGATCGCCTCGATGTTTGATGGTTAAATCTTCTGGCAAGAACGTCCGATGCATCAAATCCGGCCCGCCTTTCCAAATTCTGTGCGATAGGCACTTGCGAGGCCTAGCCGTGGAAGGAGTGGACCGATCCCTTTCGCACTGTTCTTGGAATTCTGAGAGAGGGGCAGCTTTTATTGCCATTTTTCAAATGAATGCGCAGGGGGCTAGTTGGGTGTATACTGCGATGATATAATTAGGAACCGTGGCGATAAACTGGTTCGGTAATTTACACCCTTTGCGAACTCGTTGGTGCTACTGATGCACCGGAACTCCCGGACGTGCCATGCGGACTCGCATTCATCAGCTGAACTGTCAGCAGAGTATGGAGCAATGATTTGCATGAGGTCAAGCGTTGTGATTGACTCAGAGTGGTGATCTAAGAGACACGTATACTGACTTGCTGGTACCGTTTATCAAGACGGTCGACGGTAACAGACTCCAGTTCAGTTCAGAGGTGCATGCGAACGCGATGCCACATATGACTCGGTCGACCGATCAGGCCAGAAATGAGGGCAGATGTACAAAGTCAGGTCGAGATGACCAAATGTCGAGGACATGAAACGTCCCACAAAACAAGGGAATGCCCAGAGCGTCACCACATGTGTCTTTGTGGATAATCCCCAGCCTCCTAGTGACACACTACATACGTCTATTTAGTGTGTGTCACAAGGCGGTCCAGGAAATGAGCTTCTATCCCTTACAAAACGTAGGTTGGTGACGAAACACATCAGCAAAAACCCATGGGTATGAGAAGCATCGATGAATCTCTCGCTAATTTTGGCCTGGTGAGTCATTCGCCGAAGAAATTCATTTCTGCGCATTTTTACGTCTTGAATCAGAGTACATTAATATTATTGACTTCTTTCTCATTCACTGAATCCCGATCCATGTTCCGGTTTTCAACGCCGCCTAGTCCCATACAAGACTTTACAAGATGCCCGTAACTGCGGGAAAAAATATGCATGAGCGTTCCAAATCAGTGCATTTTCTGCCTTGGCAAGGGGCTATAGTTGTAACGCAACATTTTCAGTGGGATTAAGCAAGCATTTAGAAGGTACCAAGCGAGCAAGGCCGGCCGAACGAGAAAGCGGGAACAATGGGCCTGGTCATGCGACCCATTTCAACCTCATCGAGCATTTGAGTCAGATAGTCACCAAGAAGATGCAAAAGCGACAACACATTGATCCTGTCCTTATTTCATCAATCGCCGATAAGCAGGGGCGGATGTCCCTTCGACCACCGCATCTACACATAGTAGTGGCCGCCCACCATCCATTCGAATAATATTTTGAGAGCTCGTGATGGAAAGCTGCACTGTTCGAGTTGTCCTGGGTAGCACATCATACGTACTCTCTGTTCTGCAGAGATGTGTGACGGACATACGCAGTTTGATTAGGAAACCCAGAAACAGGCATACCCATTCCAACAGAGCAAAGAAGACCAGTCATAAAAATGAGCAGATATGCATGGTCGCTGGGTAGGCTTTCTCCAACCTCTTTCGCGATGGGAACCAGTAGCACGCTTGCAATCGTATGACTGATAGATGTCGATACGATCTGAAGAAGTTTGAGCAAACTGCGAACACCACAACAAGTGACCACAAACCAAAATGACTGGGGAGAGGACAAGAACGACAGTGTACAAGGAGAGACCCTCGAGCAGGCGATGGACCATCCTATCTTGCTGATGAGCTTGACCTTTTCCAATTGGGCTTCACCTGCATGATGATTAGCACACGACTAGATCAGGGGAGAGTGAAACTGTACTGTGCTTCATACACTTCCTCTTGCAGTCAATAATACTGATATCTTCCTTCAGTTGGATTGCGAACCGTCTTGTCAGCTACTTCCCAAAGCTCCTCAGCAACTTGGATGAGCAAACGGAAGACGTGTGACACGATCACCACGTTACGTTCAAAGTTCTTGATCGCGAGCGCATCGATATCCAAATGGTTCGTCTGCTCATCTGTCTCGTCGTTGATGAAGAGATTGTCAGAAAACGAGTGACAATAGAACAAATCAAGAAGTAGGATATGAGGATGTTCAATCGCGAACTGCGCGAATAGCATTCATATGTCGAATGTATTGACGAACATGCTTCCCTGGAGTTCGATTCCTGCTCAGATCATTTTTTTCGAATAGTGTTAGCCGATCGTATTTGTAAGCAAGTCCTCTCACACAGGCTGCGAGAAAACCCTGTGGCAGATATCTGAAGTTCAGAGCTATACCAGAGCCTGGCGGCAGTTTGCGGTGTAACTTATAGGTATTTGATGATCATATTATCACAGTATGGCCTCAGAATGTAAAATTTTGCAGCGCCCGGAATTGTCGGGCATAATGAACCGGTTGGCGACAGTCGCCCTGCTTCTTGTTCTGAACTTTGCCCTGCAGTTTAAAAATGTTCTCGCAGTTATCACCTATAATCTTCCAAGTGCACCCTTGCAGGATGGACCTGCTTTGCTTGCTGGTCAGGCGTCAAACTCAACCGTACTTAATGCCTTTGGAATCTCGCCGGTATCCATCGCTGGTGATGGGTGAGTCTTTAAACCTCAAATATACACCACCTTTCTCATCGGTCCATCTTGCAGGACATACTACGTTGTTCTCCAAGCTGGTCAAATAAGCTTCTGAGCTGCCCTTGATACAGGTATTATGCGTACTTCTTTGATAATAAGATTCCATATGAAAAGCATGTCGCAGGTTCTGCCGACTTTTGGCTTACTTCCACAGAATGTACTAACAGCACATGCGTGTCTGTGCCAAGATACCCTCTCACCTATGCCAGTCCCACTTTCGTATCCGTCAATAATAACGAGACCACTTCCACCGTTAACTATGCTAATGGGACTGGTATGTGCGATAATCTACTCAATCCACTCCGATGCTAACGGTGTAACAAGGTGCATCCGGGTTCGTTGCCAGAGAAACTGTAGAAGTTGCAAACGTGACGGTTGCAAATCAGGCATTTGGTAAGGCTAGACTTGCGATTCAAAACACTCCACGTTAACATCTCAACAGGCGTTGTAACAAGTTCTAATATCACGCTGGTCAGCGAGGTCAGCGGTATTCTCGGCTTAGGATTCTCACGACACTCAGAAATATCTGCGAGGGCTGCAAGCGGTATGTTAGTCGAGCAGCGTTGTGAGCGCCAACCTCACGGATCGGGTCTGTCCTAGCCACGCCGTTTTTTTCGACCTTGGCTCAGCAAGGCATACTGGACTATCCGATTTTTGGATTGAGTCTTAAGAGGAATGCAACCAGAACGTTTACCCTCGGTGAGTCTCTACCGAGTGCCTGGTTTACGATACTCATGTCTTTGTGTTGAAAAGGAGCCATTGATGTATCTGTCGTGCAAAACGTTAGCCAGGTTGTATGGAACGAGGTCGTATCATTCTCTCCGATCGGTACACAGACCAATATATCTGGCTACTTCTATTGGGTGATTCGTATGAGCAGCTTTGCGGTAAGACTCTTGATCTTGCCATTATAGCGTGAGATGATACTGATTTTTTTTTGGCAAGGTCAATGGAACTCAATATACTCCTCAACCGACCTATCCTGGCCCAAATGGCAATTCATCGATTGCTCTTTTGGACGTGTAAGTAATCAACAACCTATCCATGTGCGCGCTTAACTCTCCACAGCGGCACTACAGGACTATATGGTCCATATCAAGATGTCAGTTCCTGATTTTTCCATCGATCGACTAATCTTCATATTCTCCTAGGTAATACGATTGTACAGTTCGTTTCCCAGTAGCCGCCTAGTTGACGAGAGTAAGTCATGATGTTATTTTGGATACTATCAGAGTTGATAAAGCAATGATAATGAAGGTGGCCAATGGGCCGTACCTTGCGACTCTTCAGCAATCATATCCTTCAGCTTTGGGTGACTAGTGGTTGATTAAATGACCCGTTTCATCTGCTAAAACCTTTCTTCCAGGGATGGAGCTACACTTGTGTTGGAACCTACCGATTACATTATTGGTCCAGCTGAGGGGACCCGGACCTCTGTTTGTCTTGGCCTAAAGCTGCACCTCCCAGTACCGATGGAGTTGACTGGTTGTTAGGTACAATAGTCGGTTCACTGTCGTGTCGCTCCATATTCTTAACCGCTTCACTCGTCCAGAAACCCCATTTTTGTGAACCGTCTACTCAATATGGAGGTATGTTGAACTTGGAATCTTTCCGAACAGTATTCATCAGTTTTTTTTATGTAGGTATGGAATTGACTACCAGGAGCCCCCGATGATTGGTTTGTATCCCTACAACAATGCCTCAGCACCTGTACAGCCTTTTTCAGTTGTCGAATCCTCCCTTTCGTCCGAGTCTGCGGCAGTTCCTACCACTCTACCCAATTTCGTTCTCTCTACACCCACTTACACGATGCCGCCGTACGCATTTAACGCGTCAGTTCCAGCTGTCTATGGCGAGATTGTGCAATCTGAGCTCGCGACGAGCACGTATAGCCCCCTCATAGGGACACTTGCTGTTAACGCCACCGCCCTCCCTCAGGTGACTGGTGCATATACACTATTTGTTACAAATTCAAACGGTGCAGTGGTGACATTGACATATCACATCTCACAACCATTAGTAACTTTAGGTGTTCCCCCTGGGTGGAATAGTGCTGCCTCTCGGAGCATTTCGGGAGTAGGACTGGCTATCCCAATACTGATCACACTGGTTGCTGGCACATGGATCATATAAGGACTACTGTCATACAATATATCATTTGTTTTGTGACTTCCTAGCTTTGTATCATACCATTCACTGACTATTTTGTTCATTACATCTTGTTGAACACAACATACTACGTGTCATCTTACCTCGAACTTTGTCCGTTGTAGATCACACATCATTCTATAGTGTCACAACAGATACTGGCACAATTGGGTATACTGATGTTGTAGCCCACGTCCGATGCTCATGAAGCTCTGTTCACCCAGAGAGAGTCTCCCCTAGGGGTGCTGCAGGCAGAACAGGCTAGGTGTTCTGGCTCGTTGGCTATGATGACACGATCTAATTAATTCCATCAGCCTGAACCTCAATCTCAAAGAAGACGTACAAGGTACACACAAGACAGTTTCAGCCATCCGGCTGGTCTTCTGTACTGTCCGGTTTAGAAGCACCAGAAATCCGCGATTTCTTAGCGACAGATATCTCGTCGTCTACCACAGCCGATGCTTGCCAGGCAGGGTCGATGAACCTGGCTGCGTATCTGTCGACACAGCAGCATCGGGACGTTCAATTTTGTGGATGTTGCATGAATCAAATCCGGTTTCTCCAGGAAGTCTAAAGTCGTCTGAAAATTTCAGTCTTATCGTGAAGGCCCCTGGCCTACTCACGGTGCCATTTCACACGTCAAGATGCTCACCAAATTCGCTCGGAGTTCACGGAGAACCAATTCGAATGTTCCTCGCAGCCGCACCACGGCACGCACCCTTGGCAGCACTTTTTCTACGATCCCACGGTCTAAGAGACCCACTTTATAGGTTATGGGAAAGTGGTCTGAGAGACCTCGTCCTACAAGGAGGTTTTTAAGTTTGCATGAATATAGTAGGGCTTCACTCCTCTGGGATCCCCGCCTATCTACCTGGCACCTCTCCAGTGGAGGCTCCCTTAGATTAGCTCCACGGGTATCAAACATTCTGTCATTGATATTCGAGCCATCATATGGCACGTACAACCTGAACTACTACGGTGTATTAATCGTCTTAAAAGACATGCACAGAAAGGGCATGCCAGAGGAAGGCGCATTTGGATGCGGGAAGAATGGACGATCATGCTTTCTGTTGGATGCGCATAGAACGGCGAGGACCCGCAGATGATTGGATGTTGTTGTCATGTGGAAAATGACCCAACCTCGATGATGATGATGATGATGCCATGGGCACCATAATTTCTGCGGGCGCATCCGGGGGGAGCTGGGAGATCCATTTTGCCAGGAGCGACGCGAGCGCTGTGTGAGTTACGCCGATGGGGGTGTCGCTCGGGTCGCTCGCTGCTGCTAGAATTAGATGACGCCACTCTTGTATGATTTGACAAAACGATGCGAAGAATGGCGTTGTTTTGTCCATCAACGACTTGTCGATGGCAGGTGAGAGCACATATGCCTGCTTCGCCATCCAGAATCCGGAACCCGCATTCTCAAAGTTCTCAACCCACATGGGCCTCCTGCCCTCATCTTTCATAACGCCGCGTGGCCCATCGAAGGTGGTTGCGAATTCGACGAAGATATAGAACAATGACTCTAGGTCATCGCTTGCCGTGTGTTCGACCGTTCCGTGCTTTTTTTCGTTAGCAGCATCCCCCCTGAGAAGCCGGATCGACATATAGGGCCTAGTACCCTTCGGACAATATGCTCAGCCACGTGCTACACGGTCAAAATTCTAGGCTTCACTTACCGTGCCTTCTGAAGGAAAACTGTTGGTACCTTCGGTGATAATCCCGGCATGGTCAAAGTCGATAAAATACCCTTGTCCATCATGAATGACGAAATTATTAGGGCTCAAGTCTCCGTGGAGGACATGCCTTCCGAGCATTAAGTCATGAGCTAAACACTAATGGTCAGTCTCGGGTTTCAATTTCAACGCATTTGAGACTCGCCCTTGACAAAGTCATGGAAGGCTCTCAGCAGCTCAGGCTTTGAGGAGTAGAACAGAAGTGGCTCTCCGCAGGGGGTCAAAAGAAGGCGACGGTGGAATCTGCAAATGAACCCAGAGCTATATACACCATGGGAAGCTCGAATACGATATGTGCAGTCCGGTTCCCCATCATAGAGGACATCCCAATCGGCCACGAGCTTGACCACATTCGGGATGCCTTCAACCATCCGGAGAACGGTTACCTCGTGGTATCTCCTATCCTCGGCGACCCAACAATCTTTGAGTGCGTACTCCGACCCATCCAAGGTCTGAACGCGATAGCAAACGGTGCCGCGAGAAAAGAAACCTTGGCTTCGCCAAAGCACGCTCATGATTGACAGATGGGCTTTATCAGGGCCCTCTATCCATCCTTTCGCGTTCTCTCTCAGATTGGGATGTGTGCCCTGGCAGGTAGGATCGCACATATGCATCGTTGGATCATAACCGAGGGTGCTAGTGTGCGCGAGCGTCAAGGTATTTAAAACCTCAAGAAGACGCACGGAGTCTGCAACGATGGAGACGGGGTGTGAAATGATAAGACCTGATCGGTCAAAGTAGTGAAGGCGAAGCTTGTTGCAAGCGATACTGAAGACCACGACAAACCGGCGCCAGGGTTGTTCCCGCATTAACAGATACCCTTTAGTGACGCTACCACAATACAAAGGTATGGTCGAGTTCAGTTCGCTTTCCGTGTGCTCGACACACGTAATAATGTTGCACCATCGCAAAGAGATGTTGCGTAGACTGCAATCCACCAGGATAATATCTGGCTTCTGCGCGTTGGTGTTGTCTGGGACGGGAGAATTGGAGAATTGGGAGGACCAAATACGCTTTGGCAGGCCGGTTATGACGTCCATGGGACAAAAGGGGAATGCAGCTGACGGGTTGGGAAAACTCTTCGCGTACATCGCGTGCATGGCAGCTTGCACGGCGTTGAGGAGCCGGGTCCACTTGCCCTCTGTCGTTGCTGATGCCCGAGGCCGCTTCTTGTTGGGGTTCTTGTCATCATATCCTTTGGCACCGAAGCTTTTGTCAGTTTCGGGCGACGTAAAAGAAGAATCCGACCCCTCCACTTCTGTATCGGTCAACACGGCTGCCACCATGCTCGTCTGTGCACGTGGTTGTGTCTTCTGTGCCCTCCGTGTCTTCTGTGCCTTCTGCTTCTTGTTATTCCTGGTGTTTGCCAACAGCTTTGGTTGGACATTCCTCGGATCAAGCTGCCATACCCCGCCTTTGCCACGGCCAGCAGGATTGAAGACAGGCCCTCCCTTGAGCCCCTTCAGTGACAAATTCCGTATTATACGGGCCACCCGACCTCCATAATATCCCGTATGAGACGGGCCAGCTGATCATGGGCCCATGTTGTGTATATTCTCGATGATGACGGATGGGCCGGGACTCATATTATTTCCGATGGAGACGGGTGGGCCCATGTATGCCAATGATATATATATCCTTAATGTTGACGGATGGGCCGGGGGAATATGATCATTCATGGAGATGGGTGGGCCCATCTGGGTAATATGTAGAGTAGGATATTATAGACAGCTGGGCTGAAGAGAGATGTAAGGCAAATATTGTTATATAGACGGGCGGGCCGACATGGGTGTATTACATATATGGGTGGGCCGAGGTAGGGGAATATTACATAGATGGGTGGGCTGACGTAGGGTGTATTACATATACAGGTGGGCCGACGAAAGGGATATCAAATAGACCGGTGGGCCGAGGGTGCTATAAAATATTTATTACATAGACAGGTGGGCCGAGGTGGGGTATAATTATATAGACCGGTGGGCCAACATAGGATGTATTACATAGATGGGTTGGCCGACGTGGGGGATAATACATAGACGGGCGGGCCGACGGGGGTGTATTACATATATGGGTGAGCCGAGATATGTTCCATCAAGACATACAGCTGATGTAGCCACCAGCGAATCAAACACATAGGATACATGTACACTATCAGTGCATATACCTACCATCAACCACCAAATCTAAACCCCTAAGCACAAAAACATGAATCTATCATGTGTGGCATTGACCAATAATCCAGGACTGAAGTGGAAAAACCCCACACCTGAACCCTGGTGTGCAACAAATCCTATTTCTAAGCATGGACACCAGAAGCACAACACTCACAAAAATATATATGTCAAATTTTCAGTGCCAAACCCCAAACCGAGATGTACCAACCCCCAAACCCCAAACCCCAAACCCCAAACCCCAAACCCCAAACCCCGAGAGTGCCGGGTCTCGGGTATCGGGTGTCCGGAACTCGGAACTTGGGAGAATTTGGGGAGATCAATACAATTTAATTTACAATCGAGTTGATTGACAACACATTGACTTACCCATGTTTGCAATATATTTTTGTTTAGACATACCTAGTTCCAAGTTCCGGACACCCGAGACCCGAGACTGCTGGGTCTCGGGTGTCCGGAACTCGGAACTGGGGAAAATTTGGGGAGATCAATACAATTTGATTCACAATCAAGTTGATTGACAACACATTGAATTAACTATGTTTGCAATATATTTTTGTTTAGACATACTGAGTTCCGAGTTCCGGACACCCGATACCCGAGACCCGGCACTCTCGGGTTTCGGGGTTCGGGGGTTGGTACATCTCGGTTTGGGGTTTGGGGGTTAGTAAAATGTTTACAGATATACATAGGTTGATTTAAACATGTCTGGAAGATGTCGTTCGTCTAAAATGTCAAATCCTGAGTTCCGGGTGTCGGGACTCGGTACCCGGCACCCGGGACTCGGGTTCGGCACTGATAATTTGACATTCGGGTGTTCGGGTTTCGGGTGATATCTACCTCAATCTGCAGTTTCAAGTTCTTGATATCGGGAGTGATCATTGAATGATTCAATTGTGGCATAGGTAACATGCATGGAAAAACATTTATGTACATCGATCACTGAGCAATTATGTAGCCATGTCAACCTCCTCACCAGGAAGATCAACCTTTCCCTCAACATCCATCTCCTCATCAGAAGAATCATATTCTGGCAGGAGGTTACCTGGTTCGTTAGGGACCACAATATTGCCGGGGGATTCTGGCAGGAGGTTGCCTGGTTCATCAGGGAGATCAATTTCGCCGGAGGATTGTGGACCCTCAGGCTGAACTTGGGTGGGCTCAACCATGGGACCTACCACAGCAGATTCATGCTCAGGCGTCAAGGGTGTAGGTTGCATGACTGAAAAGTCCAAATCAATGAGGTTGGAAAGTGCGGAGGGGAGGGGTGACATGGACGGGGGGGACCTCCTTGACCAAGCAACATTATTCCATCGGCCGGTGTGTCCGGAAGTGAAAATGAAGAGTGCCGGTCGACCACTGTGCGCCGGAGGCTCTCATGGAGGCGTTGCAGGGTATCAATCTTAGCGTCCTGCTCCTGCACCCGAGCCTCAAGAATAGTGATGTGAGCTGCACCATCCCGAATCGCGATTGCCATGGAATGGAGATCCGGCATGGGAACATTGAGTGCTGCACGAGGCACTGCGACGCTGGAAGACCTGACTGCTAAGTAAAAAATTAGGTCAGCCGGTCATCAAAAGTATGGGTGACTTACCAGCTGGCGCAGGTGCAGGGACAGGTGCAGGGACAGGTGCAGGAACAGGTGCAGGTGCAGGTGCAGGTGCAGGTGTCTTCTTGGTAGTGATGGTCTTGCTGCGACCACGTGACTGCACCTGGGGTGTGGTTGCAGCAGGGATGGCCGGAGTTCGGGAAGGGCCACGAGATTGACTACGAGTTCGGGCCCTTGACCGGGAGGGAGATGGAGCATTGGATGGAGCAGGGGCAGGTGTCTTGGAACGCGTCCGGCCGGTGGTAGACTTCCCTCGGGTCCGTTTGGGCGGGGATCCCAGAGATGCAGAGTTGCATTTGATCTTCTTGGTGGAGCAGCGGATGCAAGACAAGCAGGGGAGGCTGGACCTCTTGTCCAATCGAGTCGCACAGGGCCAATTTTCCTTGACACAATAATGGCAGGGGTTGTTCTGTAGTATCCATTAGTAGATGGACTAGAGGGAATTTATTTGAGTACTCACTGGGCCAGGAATGGTGATATCAAATGTGGTAGTGGCTGGCGGGTCACCATCCGAAGCACTGGAAGTATAATTGGAGGACTCCTCCTCAACTTCCGGACGCCTGCTGGAGGTTGCCTGACAGATTGTTAATACACATGAGTTTCTGGAAAACTTCTAGGACTTACCCGAGCCTCCGGACGACTGACCGGAACCTCCGGACGACTGATGGGAGATTTCTAATGTAATGGGAATGAGTGGGAATTATACATGGGAGGTCTGGACATGTCCAAACGACTCACCGTAACCTCCGGACGACTGCCGGCAGTCAGCTGTGGACACATGAGCATATATTTAAAGTCCAAACGAAAAATGCAAACTTACTGAAGCAGTCCCAAATGATTGCTTCTTGGGGGAACTGGGTGACCGAGGCGACTGGGGCTTCCTTACCACAATGGTGCGCTGGGGAAGGACGACCTCCGGCACTCCACGCGAAATCGGCTGCAACAAATTGAGAGCATGTCAGAAATCAGCCAGAACACATACCTGAACAATTGGGTCCTCATCATCTTCTGACTCCACAAACGGCTTCGACTTGGGGAGTTGAGTTGACTTGACACGCTTGCGAGCCTTCAGCGCCGACTTTGGAGGTTGGGAGGAGTGTCCTGAAATCATTGGAGACTTCCTCTTGTTGCTCCCCCCAACTTCCGGCGACAGGTCGACGGAGGTGGCCTTACCTTTTCCTTTGTCCTGGACCTCGGGGGTCGTCTTGCCGGAAGGTCCGGCGACGACCTGAGGTGAGGGAATGACGGGGGTGGGGGAAGGGACAAGTGCAGGTGAAGGGACATGTGGAGACGGAAGGTTGACAGTGAGTGGGCCAGTGGAAACGTTAGGGACAACAGGGAGATCACAGGAATTGTCACCCAACGCCTCCCAGGCACGGACTTGCTTGCGCCAGGCGTGTCTAGCCACCCGGGGGTCATCGTGGCCAATGCTGTGCCAGTTGGGCAAAGCCTGGGGAGTCATGGAACGCACCCTCATCAGCTCCTTAGAGCAGGATGCCACAATTCCAGGGATGTACTCCCCTTTCTCATGGGCCCAGATGATGTCAGCCTACCTGGACATTACAAACATTAATGTTACACTAATTTAATAAGTTCAACATACCAAAAGAGTGGTGACCTGCTTTGTTAGAACAAGGTGGACGTCCACAGAGCCGGCCGGGATGTGCCGGGCGCTGGCAATGATGCCCACAAGTTGAGCAGTGGATGCCTTGAGGTTGGCCAATGAAGATTGAACTTGAGTAGACATTTGGATGGAGTTGACAGATGTGAGAATGTTGAAAGCAGGGTGAAATCTGTTATCAATAGAATGAAGTTTCAAAGAAACAATACAATTGAAGGACGATGTTGAAAATTCGTTGATTGTTTGTGTTTGTTTGGTCATTGTTCAACTTTCGGCAATCGCCGGCCATGTGTTGAACTTCGACATTATCAGTTATCAATCAGTTCATCAGTGCATCAGCTCATCAGATATCATGAGCTCTCAACCTGGGGTCAGATTTCATGACCCTCCGGTCACTGAATTTACTTCAATGGATGTGGATGAGTCCTCCCAGTCCCGGATGTCCCTTGGTATGTTTTGTTTTTTCTGATTTCAGTCAATTGATCTGACATGGTTCAGATCCATTAGATGATATATACCTTGGGCCGGATGATGAGTTAGACTCTGATTCTGGATCGTCCGGTGGTTTGGATGTGTTGAATGTAATTCCCGGTATGTTTTCCAATTCAAATGTACATATTTTACATGTGCAAATTCATCACATATCTCCAGATCCATCATCTCCGGCTCTGGCAGATGGACTGGCCCTGTACGATGACCCGGACTTGTATCTTGGTCCGGAGGATACCTTGATTTCGTCTGATGATGCTCCGGTTATACCCGATTTTCCTATGGCTGGTGAGATTACTCTTTCAATCCCATGGTCACCTTTCATGGCATTTCCCCAGTGAATGAATCAACTCCGGAGCCCGATCCGGCCACTCCGGGTGTACCAGGGGCACCCATACCTTGTAGGTATATTCATATCATTTCATGTGCTTTACTCATGCTATCTCCTAAGCTATGTCAGAAGCTCCCGAACGTCAATCGCCCGAGCCGGAACTCAACAATGAAGCCCTGCGTGCCATGGTTCAGGAGTTCATGCCAATCGGATCTTATGATCAAGCTGAAAGTAAGTATACAACAGTTGATTATTTATCTCTGCTAATATCCTGCAAGTTCAATCAATTGTAGATCGCCTGGGAGATTATGAACAGCATCATGGAAATCTTCCTGCCCCTACAGTAGCCCAAATTCTTGAGGCTGACAGACCATTCAGGATGGCATGGGCTGAAACATGCGACAAGCTGCAGAAAGCAGATGCGGACCTCCGGAGGATGCAAAGGGTAAGGGAGTCAACCTCCGAAATGCTGAAGGTATTGGATACCCTCATTGAGGCCTTTGAGGACTCAAGTAACATGTAAATATTGATCAATGTCTGATAGTAGACACATTGCAGTACTACTCAGTAGGTAGTCCTTGGTACTTGTATATTCTACCTACCCAGTACTTGCTGCCAGGTTTTCTGTGCTCGGTACTTGGGGCTCGGTACTCAGGGCTCGGTAGTTGGGGCTCGGCAGTTGGGGCTCGGTAGTCGGTGCTTGGTACTCGGGGCTCGGAACTCGGGCCTAGGAACTTGGGCCTCGGGGCTCGGTACTCGGTGTTCGGTACTCGGGCCTTGGTACTCGGTGACCGGCGTTCGGGCTTCGGTATTCAGGGTTCGGTACTCGGGCCTTGGTACTCGAGATTTGGCATTTGGCAATTACAATTTGTTTGTTAGTACTTTGACATATACATAATAGCACTTATGACATTACACATGAGGGCAGGAAGATATATGTACATTAAGTGCGTCCCCGTGCTCTGGTTACTCTAGGTGTACTGTCTACTGGCATTTGCAACTTACTCCGGGTCGTCCTCGTGGATGGTTCAACAGTGACTCGAGTGCCCCTCCTCCTTTTCTGTGCCGGCGGTGTGATACTCTCTTCCATTTCGACATCATCTCTAACCTCGCCCGTCGCGTTGTCAGTTAACCCAGCAAGGAGGTCTCCCAATTCGTGATGTCAGTAATGCACCTTTTTTGGCCGGCTTGGCTGGGCGAGGCTTTGGAATTGGACGTGGGACTGCCGGCCCTCTGGGTGTAGGACCTCCCGTCCTGGGCTTCTTCAGCGGAGGTCTCCCGTCAGCCAGGTCATCATCCACATTATGCTCCGTATGATGAGTGGCACTCTCCTTATCACTCTCGGCTTCTGTCGATGACTCCCGAGGCCTTCGGATGGTAACCCTCTGTTGCCTTCTCACTATACGAGTCTGAGGAGAGGGCGAGTTGCCAGATATGACAGATGGTACCATGTCCCCATCTTTGTTCTTCCATGCTTTGAACAGAAATGTGGGCCCTTCGCCTGTTTCTTGCCGAGCGAGCCAAAACTGGAGCAAGGTAGTGGTGTCCCAAATTTGCAGCTTCGAAGGTTCCTTCAAGTCAACATCCGCCGGAAGATACGTCCGGGCCACGAAGTCATCCTGACTTTGTACAATGGCACTCCATGGCACAACCGCCTTGTCCTTCCCGGAGCATATCCCTTTGTCCATGCATTGAACAATTTGTCAGGTGATGCGACGACAAACTCACGATAGTGCGATGTAAGAAAGGCCCTTACTATGGCCTTCTTCTCCTCAAGTTTGGTGTCGGTGATGTCCGGAAGGAGTGGCATACCCTCCCCATCCATTTCGAGTTCGAAGGCTGGTTTTCGAATTCGTTTTCGACCTCCCTTGACCTGACGTCCTCCATCCCGTGCCCCGGCGCCTATCATTGTGATGCTCAATATGTTCAATCTGGTATACATGGTTCACACACTCACCGAACTGTTCCTGCGCGTACTCCTGCCACACTGGCTCAATGTCCTCCCAGTCCTTCGTCTTCATGAAGCTGTCCCCATCTCCTAAGGCCTCATTATCATCATGCCTGCATGAATATTTTGAGACGAAAAATCTCAGTCGATGGATAAATGTACTCACATCCCGAACAGCACCTCGCCCTTTTCATTCTTCCAAGCCGACATCACAAACACTCTCATCCCACATTGCCTCCACATCTCGTTCGAAAAGTGCTCCATATATGCCGGACCCTTCTTACGAGCCACTTGTGCTTGTATCTCCGGAGGCGGACAGTTGTTGGACCACTCTTCGGCTGTTTCTTTAGCCTTCTCCAACTCGTCGTCATCCAATTCAGCCATGACTCTCTTCACCGCCGCCTGATAATGTTTGAACATACCAGGATCTCCTGGCTTTACCCCGGACTCGTCCTCAATCCTCTTCAGCACCTCTTCGCGTTTCTGCTGGTAGACCACCATCCTGGGAGTCCATTTCCTCCCATACTTGATCATGTCCTTCCTTTCCTTCTTTTTCTTGTTGTTGAACAACCAAGTCTTGTACACCTAAGAGTTGATGAAAGAATGTGACATTAAAAATTTAGTTTTTCAACACAACAAAGAAGCCTCACCTGCTTCCTCTTTTTCCATTGTTTTTGGTCCAACTTCGGAGCAAACAACCTGGCCGCCCTTGCTATGGCAGTGAAAATCGCTCGCTTCTCACTCCTTTTGGCAGCAGTCCACTCAGGAAGGTAGTTCTTCAACTCCAAAATCTCCTTGTCCGTGAGCTTCTGAGACTGTGGTTGACGCATCCTGTGTCTTCCGGAAGTCGTGTTGGTGGAATGACCTGTTCTTGCCATAGTGAATCAGAATGCAGAAATGGCTAAGGATTTGCAAGGTGAAAGTATTAATGAATTGTGCGAAGTTGAACTTTGAGCAAAGCCTAATGATAGGTTAATCGGCCCATATTGGACCCTGAGCCATTAATGGAAATGAATTTGTAATAAGCCAACAGGACTGCACCGCATCATATTGCAATAACAATTCATTACACCTGAGCTGATGCCTTGCTTGCAACATTAATAAACAAGATGAAGATAGGTAGATGCACCCCAGTGCAAAAATCTCACAGGGTGGAAGCAAGGGGCAGCAAAGGTAGGAAGACTTGGGTCAAGGTCCCACTTGCAAGCACGAGGCGACATGCCTACAGGTCCATGCCTAACTCTCCCCCGGAATCACCAACAATTCAGCCTGTTGAGGCACCGCCTCCTTGGGAAGACTTTCCTGACAATACTTACGAGCAGGACCAAGGCTCATTTGAGCCATTGCAACTCCCAAAAACCATGGCAAGTTCATGTACAATGTTGGAGTGTCATTCAAACTATGGCTAAGCATTCAAAATACAGAGTCAAAATGACTACCTCAGGCAATGGCTGCCAAGGCAGGAATCATATCTACATCACCTCCTCGATCGAGAAGCTCCACCAGAAGACAGGAGATGCATCATCTGCCAACAGGATGGGGTGTACAAATGTCAAGATTGTCTTGGCGAGCCACTTTATTGCACGGGCTGTTGCAGGAGTCAACATCGTAGCAATCCTTTCCACTGGATCAGTCAATGGAATGGGCGATTCTTCGAGCGGAGTTGTCTAGCTCATGTGGGACTCATTATATACCTTGGCCATGATGGCAAACAATGTCCGGCGGTCACCGATCAGTGGAATTTGTTTGAAGAAGATGAACCCGAAGACCTGCTCGAGCCTGAAGATCTGCCATTTGTGTCCGGACCCTGAGTTCCAGCCAAAGGAAAACACCATGGTCATCGTGGACAAGTCCGGAGTTCATCGCCTGGAGGTTCGATGCTGTGAATGTCCGAATGCCATGAGTCCGGACATTCAAATGTTTCGACACAGATTTTTCCCTGCATCTTTTAACAGGCCAAAGACTGTGTTCACCTTCAGAGTGCTCAATGATTTTCTACTGGACAGCCTTGAATGCGGCACCTCGGCGATGAACTATTACAGCAAGCTCCGGCGAATGACCTCCAGCATGTTTCCACACCTTGTTCCGGTAATGCCTTACCCTCATGATCTACTGGACATCATATTGACAAAGCACATTGCAAGGACCGATACAGAGAGCTCATGAGGGTCGCTCGACAGTGGAGGCAGTTGAAGACAATGAAATGGCATGGCTTTGGCCATCGTTCTGATAACCCGAGCACAGGAGAACTTGCATTATTTTGCCCGGCATGTCCTCAGCCTGGGATTAATGTGCTGTTGTCAGAGGATGAATCTCTTGATGAGTGAGTCCTATTCTCAACCTATGTGGCCTCCATAATAATACTAGGGATCCAAGCTGGAAATACACCCGGTCATTTGTGATGGACGGAAATTTCAAAGCCGAACATCTGCATCCCATTAAGCCATTCGATGAAGTTTGGCTGTCCGATGGGCTTGGATTCATGGTAGGAAAGGACAGGTATAAAATGCATCTGGCAGAGGCTGCTGACACAGTGGAAAAATCAAGCTGCAACAATCACCGGGCAGTAAATCAAGCTAATGCTGCTCGGCACAAGCTGGAGTCCACCGGTATCGGGGGAGTTGCCTGTGCCAGACACGGTTGCTTTGTCCCTCACTCCATGGTGGATTTTCAGAAAGGCGAAAGGCAAGCCACATCCACCATTCCCCATTCACAAGTTAACCATGGGTCACTTGCAGACAAATGAACATGGACTATGCCCTTTGCGAGGCTTCCCGGCACAACATGGAAGGCATCACCAGGGCTGTCACCTTCTATGATATTAATTGTCAATACAACAAACACTTTCGGGTTCAGGTGGATCGAAGTCGATTTCTAGAAATGGCACCACAACTAACCATCATTCCCGGAATTGGGTTATGGCACGTTCATGGCCATCAGGACAGCTGCTATGTCCGATATGCTTCTAACTTTATTGAAGGCATTGGTCGGATCGATGGAGAGATCATGGAGACGCTATGGGCACGGCTCAATTTGATCTCCCCTGCTGCTCGGGGAATGTCATCTCCCCACCGAAAGGAATGCCTTGATTATCAGATGAATGACTCCAATTTCTGCAAGATGATTCGCATGAAAAGGACTCTATGCCGGAAATACAAACTGGCTAGGAATGGTATCTTAGAAAGTGGAAAGGCATTCGACAGACTCGATGAAGCAGCACCCTTACATTTGAAGACAGAATGGTTAGCCAGGGAGAGGCTAGCTCAGTCAAGCAGATTGAATGATCCTTCAGCCATGGATGAATATGAGATCAATATCAAAAAGGGTACATTGAGTTCCATTGTCTCCGTCGAGGTCTGAATTAATATTGCACTCAGCACCTAGCAAAAAGGAGATCGAGCTTAGATTGTTAGAGGAGGGTAACACCTGCAATGCAGCACCCTCTCGCAGATCTGTGGCGACATGGATATCAACAGGGTTAGCAATTGAAGAGGCTCAGATTGCATTGCTCATCGAGGTCCGAAGGATCGGAAGAAGATCCACCAAGACACAGAGATTAGACATCGCCCGTCAAAGAGATCGGCTCCAAGGCCAGATAGATGGATTTGCTCGGTCTGCTCTAACACATCTCGGGGAGGGATTTGATGCAGATGATGAACCTGAAGACTTGGACGTAGACATTCTAGATGATCTCAATGATGACCTGGTGTAGGGATTCATTTCTGGCTGGGCTTGTAGAGACTGTTTTTACCTTACCTTATGTTGGCACTTTTGTAGCTTACATAAGCAATCAATCTTTTCACCAGTTACCAGTAAGAGTCTGAGAGATCAGCAAGTATTTATGATATTTCCTCTACTCTGAGCCTTGAGCCTGGTCCAGAAACCCTTTAGGGTCGAATAGCAGCTAGGTTCTGCAAGACCCAACACATTGTTCAGACTCACCATCTGAATTGTTGTACCTTCAACTGGAGCCCACCGCGAGGGTTTCTTGTGTTTCTAGGCTCTCTAAGCTCACCAATCATCCCCCAAATTCGCCTATTATCCCACCACAGTCATTCATTACCAGCTTCTCCCACAATTCCCACTTTTCAGCATCTTGTCCTTCTCCCCAGCGCATTGATAAGCGTTTTTCCCACGCGTTTTTCGAGCGGATCTCTCGAAAACTTAGGGTCATATTCCCCTCGTCCATACGATCATTTTGCGCCCTGGCTCATCGAAATTGGAGCAGTAGTTGTGGAGATATCGAGTTTTTGGTGTTTTTGAGAAGTTGAGGGGAGATAAGGGTTTTCTGGGTGCTCTAAGGCCTGTCTCATTTAGCTCTTTTGGCAATTTACCATCCCCCAGTGGCTCTGTCCATTGCCCCAATCAGCTTCTTGATAGGACCAGTCCTTGTTGCCCTGCACCCTACCCCTTCCTCCTCCTCCCTCTTGCACCTCCGCACTTTTTTGCACTTTCACCAGCCCATTTCGCATCAGAACCCCATCGACCCTATATCCGTTTTGAAGCCCTCGTTCATGGCTTTCATTCGCGCATATTTGCGCCTTCACGCGCTCAGCCGTTCGCTCGCTATCCGCATTTGCGCGCTCCTCCCAATTCTTTCGCCCCATTTTTGCGCTTTCTTTATATCTCGTCGCCCTGTGATCGCGTGCCCATCGCCTTAGGCGCGTTCTGACCGCATTTATCCGCTCTTTCCATCCATCTGATCAGATTTCCGATACGCCCACTCGCGCCCTCGCTACTCGCCGTTTTCGCTATTTTCGCGCGTTTTCACCATTTCCTTCATATCTCCCTCAGTTCTTCACCAAACCTAGTCAACCCTATACTCATTTCGAAGCCCTCGTTCGCCTCTTTCTATCCGGCTACTCCCCATCGTCATCCATGCAACCATCATCGCGTTTTTTCACTTTAGCATCGCTGCTCCTCCAGTACTAAAAGCAAAGTCTGGAGATTATCGTTTTATTGCATTGCCTGACCCTCACTCACTGGCGCAGTTTACCTGGCATACGCGTCAAGGAGACAAAAGGTGTTTGAGGACCCCCAGGTTAGTTCTCTTAAGTTTAGCTTAGCTTTGGTTTGCATAGGTAGATGACTGGGGACAGTCATGATTCAAAGTTCCCATGAGATGTAGGGATTCATTTCTGGCTGGGCTTGTAGAGACTGTTTTTACCTTACCTTATGTTGGCACTTTTGTAGCTTACATAAGCAATCAATCTTTTCACCAGTTACCAGTATGAGTCTGAGTGCTGAGCAAGTTTCTATGATATTTCCTCTCCTCTGAGCCTTAAGCCTAGTCCAGAAACCCTTTAGGGTCGAATAGCAGCTAGGTTCTGCAAGACCCAACATTGTTCAGACTCACCATCTGAATTGTTGTACCTTCACCGGCGTATTTCACAGAGACATCTCACACATGGACAAACTCTCCCGAGCTAACTGTAATCCCATTGCCATCAAACCTGGGGGTTGATAGATGCAGACGATGCATGGCAGAGGATCTGATTCCCCTGGAGATGTCGCTTCGTGAAGGGCAGGCCAATGATGCCCTTCACAATCTCCGCATTTACCTTTGCAACAAGGCCATCCTGTTCTGAACAACCGTTAGGCAGGCCAATTCCCAGGCCCTGAAAACTCGAGCTTGGTCCCAGGTGACGTCGGTGCAGCAGGCAGTCTCCCTCCATGCCAGCATATATACAAAGACAAGGAAGCAAATGATGAAACTTGAGCTGGGGCAAGACCAGCTTCAGAAATACAAACCCCTGCTTCGCGAGCAACTCAAAATCAGCACTGCAGTGGGAGACCCAAATGCCCGAGGTCAACGAAATGAATCTTTGGCTTGGTTTTGGTCTGTTGAAGTCGACCTCGGGGGTCCTGATCAATCGTGGAATGAAGAATGTGAGTTCCCGCTTGCATGTCATATCCCGCGGTTACCTGACTGGACCCATGCCAAGTTTACCGAGTCCATTGGCTGAGGGCAAAGGCACTACGGGATCGATGGAGGGAAGAAATGCTATTGGTCACATTGGAGATGGATTGGACATGTAAGTTCTTTTTGTGGAAAACAACCATATGGGGCGAGCACATGCAGGAATCATTGGAGAAACGACTTCTGGGTCACGGATGCTACGCCGGAAGGCAATCCCACATGTATTCATTGCTGGCACAGGATGCGCAGGCAGCTTTTCAAGACCTACACAATGTGTTGATAGAGGCTGGAGATGAATGAACATTGTTTTCTCATGAAGTCCCTTTTTCCACATACATAATTGACGCCCGGGAATTGTCCGGGTCAGCCCATGTCGGAGTTTGAATTTTGTATCCATCCATCAGTGATTCTTATCTTCACATCTTGACCATCTTTCACTTGTATTGCCAGCGCCATAGTCCTGTATTAGCCATGTCTGCATCTCATGCATCCACTTCTGGCACTCTGAATCCCGGAAGCCATTACCGACCTCTGAAGCTGAGCCTTGCAACTATTTCCTGCACATTGGCAATGGCTGGATCATGTGTCCGTGCAATCATCTCTCAATATCGGATGGAAGCTGCCAACAATGGTCTATCTGCTGACCGGATCAAGTATTTTAAAGCCGGGCTGCAATGGGAGATGAATGTATGTTACCACTGCCCTGATGACTTTGTTGGTCAATGCTAAGAATTTGAGCAGACATTTGTCACACCACTCCTGCAGTACTCCGCTTCACAGAATATTGTGTCAGTTCTTCCGGTCCCTGTCACTTATATCCTTAAGTTGTATCCCATGCTGACCTGGAACACTGTTCCGGACGACGTCTTTTCATTCCACCTCCTTTCATTTCATGATGAGCCAATTGCAGGACATCCGTCCTGGATTGTGTTCGCATATACATGTCCATGGTGGATGGGAAACACCACAATCCCTGATCAACCATGGCAGTGGGATGAAATAATGGCTTCCTGCGTCTCTCACTACCAGTATTGGGCGGTAAGATGTCAGCTGAATTACCTTGATTGATGACTTATCTGTTTCAGCTTAATGTTGAGGATGATGCTTTGGTACTTCCAGAGAAGTTGAAAAACACTTCGACTCCACCACTCATGGGACTGAGATTCATCAAAGAACGCATGGAAGCATTGCTGGAGGAGCAAGATCAGGGCATCGAAGCTAAGATGGGAGAGGTGAAGATGTACACTGACATGTTAGAAAAATTGAGGAAAGGCAAAGGAGTGTAGTCCCATTCACTCTTCATTGTATACAAGATGTAACATATTCTATGCATTCAAAAATCTCACATTCGAGTCCCAGACGCCCAGGTCCCGAATTTCGGAGGTCGGGGCTCGGAGACCTGGAGCTCGGCAACTGTGTTGGGTGTCAGGGTATCCAGACCATTGGAGATAGCATGTGTCAGTATTTTGCGTTTCATGGTTTATGTTGGGTGAATATGGAATCAGGGATCAGGGACTCGGTATTCAGAACAGTGTCAAGTCCCAGGTCACGAGCTCCAAGTCCCGAGTCCTGAATTTCGGAGGTCAGGGTTCGGCGACCCGGAGCTCGGCAACTGCTGGGTGTGGGTTTTGGGACTCGGGACTCGGAGCTCATGACCTGGGACTCAACACTGTTCTGAATACCAAGTCCCTGACACCTGATTCCATAATCATGAAACATAAACCATGAAACTTAAAATACTGACAAATGCTATCTCCAATGCTCCGAGTACCCTGACACCCAACACAGTTGCCGAGCTCCGGGTCGCCGAACCCCGACCTCCGAAATTCAGGACTCGGGACCTGGGCGTCCGGAACTCGGTATTCAGAACAGTGTCGAGTCCGGAGTCCACCATGTCGGGGTTCAGGGTTTTGTTAAATGTGTATGGCAATAACAAATGTTAATTCGAGCGTATTTATACATCTTCCCCCAGTCTCAAATATCACGTGCTGAGGTCCGGGTGTTGGGACTAAGTACCCCGGCACTCAGGACTCCCATATGTCAAGTCCCGAGTTCCAATTATCGAATACTGAGGCTTGCATCCAAATTATTTAGTCCCACATATCACTTGGGAAATGCTCAAAATTGAGTATTGAGGTCCGGATCACAATTGGTACATGGTATTCATTTGTTGGAATGTATATAGGTCACAATGCTTGCTCTTTGTTTGATCTTTCACACGCTGTATGGACCATCCACACTAGCCCATCCACATGATGGAACACCAGCATAAATATGAACAGCATCCCTCATATACCATGCCCAAGCAATCCGATCCCCTTCCACATCATACACTCCATGTCTCACAATCTTTCCGGAAAACGCAATCATACAGCCGGAATTGTACTTGAACTCCAGCTGAAGGTTTGGCATTGTCATCCGAGCATTAGAATAGTCCCCCACGGTGGTGAGAATGTCGAAGCATTCAGCAATGGACATGTGGTCTCGATGATGGGGGGTTTCCCGATTGGAAATGATGGAGAGGGTGTTAAACATGGATGCCCAGTACTGCAGGGCCTCCAGCATCTGTGGCAGATCCTTGCTTATTGCTATATTTCCAAGGTTTGACAAGGTTCTCAACCCTGCCCAGTACTGCTCAGGATGCATGACTCTGAGTGCCGCGGACGCGATGGCTGCTGGCCTTGCAATGGCTTTGAGGATATTCTCGCAGGAAGGTCCCTTCAATGATGCAGATACCTCTGGATCGGACACATTCTTTGGGATTGGTAAGTATGACTGCCGGAATCACCATCTCATCAGATCCTACCTCGTGTCCCTGTTGAAACCATGCCGGAGATAGATTGATGCATCCGGGAGTTGGTCCAACATCTTCCAAGCCCCGGTTGAACAACCTTTGATTAGTTCGCCAATTGCCATCAGCCCTTACACTTTTTTCGAGGCTTGGAGAGAGCAAATAGGTGGCCTCCCTGATTTCCTTCTGTAGGTTCCATTAATATTCGATATCCATCGAGTAACAATGTATATTACACACCTGGGTGGTGTCTGTCAGGGCGTCTGGGAGATACCATGCAATGATGGCACCGGATGCATCAAGAATTATTGCAGGTTCATCGACCAACCTTTTGCCTTCATGGCCAGGAGGACACCTCTCAAGCAACCTCGCCTCTTTATGTTCATTATGCCCGGTGTCCTTCGGGGAGATCAATTTGCTATATCTTGCAATATCCATCTGCATCTGAACTGTCATGCAGGAATTTGAATGATAAATAGAATTTTCCGAATCTGCAGGAAGACCCACTGGGATTTTTAGATGCCTTTATGAGTACATCAGCCAAGCGATTGCACACCATCACCAGATCAGTGTCTAGGTTGGGGGAAGGTATGACTGGGCCTCCTCCAGTCTTCTCTGCCTTGAATTTCTGTTCAGTATATTCCCCTGCTTCATGAGTCACAGTCAGGGCCCAAGTGCACCAGATGTTTATGCTATCAGGAGGGGAAGGGGAAGAACCGTTCATGCTGGATGTTAATCTTGGGAAATCAGACGCTGAATGCTGGATGTCCGGACTTTGGTGTTATAGGGGGTGGAGATAGAGAGGATCAGATAAGGGAGCCATGGATAATTTTGGCTGCTGTCAAAGATGTATTATTATCCATTGCTCAATGAAATACTACCTGATTGGAAGTGTGCTGGTCATCAGATATTCATTTGTCGACTCCCGGGTCCCGGTACTCGGAAGTCGGTACGGTTGACCCATATTTTGGTGGTCGGAATTTGGCGTCTCATAGGGCAACACAAGCTTCGTACTGCCATATCAGGAGATCACCTGCTGCTCCGGGAACTCGGTAACTGTGATTTATTACCTCCTCTGAGTAAGGTTGACTCGCTGGTCATCAGATATTCATTTGTCGACTCCTGGGTCCCGGAACTCAGAGGTCGGTACGGTTGACCCATATTTGGGTGGTCGGAATTTGGAGTCTCGTAGGGCAACACAAGCTTCGCACAGCCATGTCAGGAGATCACCTGCTGTTCCGGGAACTCGGTAACTTTGATTTATTACCTCCTCTGAGTACGGTTGACTCACATTTTGGTGCTCGGAACTTGGCTTCTCGTAGGGCAACACAAGCTTCGCACCATGGATTCCACATTCTGCAAGACAACCTAAGCACCATCAGAGGCCATGTCAAGAGAGCACCTGCTGCTCTCTTCAGAAACATCTCAACTTTGGTTGGCCATTTAACACGGAAAGTATTGACTAAATTATGTGTTGAGTTCTGGGTCCCGGAACTCGGTACAGTTGACTCCAATTCTGGTGGTCGGAACTTGGCTTCTCGTAGGGCAACACAAGCTTCGCACCCTGGATTCCACATTCTGCAAGACAACCTGTGCACCATCAAAAAGTATTAACCAACTTATGTGGTGAGTTCCGGGTCCCGGAACTCGGAACTCGGTACAGTTGACTCAAATTCTGGTGGCCGGAACTTGGCGTCTCGTTGGGCAACACAAGCTTCGCACTGCCATGTCAGGAGATCACCTGATGCTCCGGGAACTTGGTAACTTTGATTTATTACCTCCTCTGATTTGGTTGATGTACAACTACCTCAGCTCCATCATGTCTACAATTATGATACACATGGGCCCACCCATCTATATTGTATACCACCCTCGGCCCACCCGTCTAATACAACATCCCATACAACACCCTCGGCCCACCGGTCTAATTAATATGCGTCTGGGCCCACCCGTATAATACAATATTTTATAATACCCTCGGCCCACCCGTCTAATTTAATATGTGTCTGGGCCCACCCGTGAATGTGATAACAAGTACCTACCCATCTATCTCATACACATCTACCTTAATACACCCATCTGCATAATATCCAGCTACCTCGGCCCACCCGTCTACCTAATATTCATTTACATCGGCCCACTCATCTACTCTATATATTCCCTGCATGGGCCCACCCGCCTCCATCGGGAATAATTTGCCTCCCGGCCCATCCGTCATAGTCGAGAATATTTTTATCATGGGCCCATGGTCCGCTGGCCCGTATCATACGGGATATTATGCATGTCCGTTCCCTCGTATTATACGGAGATAGGTCACTGTAGTATGTGCTCCCTTAACCTTCTTATCTCCTGGCCCGGATGTATAATAGTGAATGTTGCTGAGAGTGGTTGTAGTAAAGTTGGTGTCTAAGATAATGGTATCCATGATAGACTCGGCATCTTGCGGGAGTGATTTTTCTTCCCATAGAACATTACCGATAAGCTCTTGCTCCAAAAGCTTATCCATGGCGCTCTTGTTCCGAGCTTCGGGGAGCGCATTGGCAGTAGTGACCGATCCATAGAGGCGTCTACAATAAGAGGTCGTGCTCACCGGCTGCGGCAGCATCGCCTGGGACATGGTTGGTGTTGGGAAAATGATATCGTTGTCAAGTCGAGCGGAGTCGTTGAGAACATTCCGCTAATTTTGGAAATGCTTCCATAGTGCCATGTACAGTAGATTCTTGAGTTGTCATGAAGCCACCTCAGCGCATCGACTAACTGGACATGATTTAGTCATCTTGTATTCATACTATGCCATAAAATGTACTTTTCACAGTTTTTGACACTTATTATGTGTTAGCGCTCGAGTCCCACACACCAAATAGGACACGAATAATGGTATATTTTCCCAATCGTCGCCTTTTTTGCCACTGGTGTGCTGAAAAAGGTGTGTGCTGAATATATCGGCGATATTGATACTACACTCATTTCCGAAAGTCTTGACTCACGTGTTTGTGGCGGTTCAAACAAGTGAAAATGCTGAAAATTCATTTAAATCAGTTTCGAGTTTTGCAGGCCTCTGAACGGCTTCAAACACACCATCTTGCACCTATTTCCTACTCAGACTCGCTATGGTCAACCAGAGGATCAGTCCTGACAGAAAAAAACGAGGCGTTTGGAGGAAGATCTAGCTCATATATGATATAGTTGCTCCTGGTGTATTGTCAAAAAGTATAGAGCGGTGGGAGGCAAATTATGATCTACATCGATGTATTAACCCTCACACACCAATCATGGGTGCGCCCTTGATTTCTGGATCAATTCAAACTGTTAAGGAGTCTGGACTCTGCATGCTGCTAGCCAAAAACCTGTCATTGCTATTCGAATTGTCGATGTATCCTGTTGCTCACACTGTCTCCAGTGAAGAAGTGACTTTGACGGCATCTGACATAGTGGGTGGCGCCAATTCCCTGACCAGGACCTTCGTGAACCTTGCAGCTTCCTTGCTGTAAATGCACCAGGTTGGTATAGGCATAGTGACTATCTGTAACAATAACATGTAGAATGGAATATCTAGTAGCTGTATTTGATGTATGGAGCTGAATACAATCTACAAACGCGAACAGTAGTCGCTGAATGTGCAAAGAAACGGCGTGGTTATCGATTTGTGGAAAATCATCGAGTTCGTTCCTGAGAAGACCTAGATGAAAGGGCTTGCCACTTGCTGGCGGTATCCATCCAAAATGTGTAGAATATGCTAAGACTTACCTCCCATCGCTCTATACGCTCTATGCTTTCAAGAACAGCAGCTTGTGCTCGAATTCCCATCCTTCCTCCAAACACCTCATTTTTTTTCGGTCAGGACTGATCCTCTGGTTGACCATAGCGAGTCTGAGTAGGAAATAGGTGCAAGATGGTGTGTTTGAAGCCATTCAGAGGCCTGCAAAACTCGAAACTGATTTAAATGAATTTTCAGCATTTTCACTATTTTTGAACCGCCACAAACACGTGAGTCAAGACTTTCGGAAATGAGTGTAACCCACGTGTTCTCAAGGGCGACTTTGAACAATTCGCCTGGACAATTGTTTTCCTCGCAATGGGCGGAATCGCTCTTGGCAAAGGTGTTACTTCCAGTGGTTTGATGGTGACTATGGATCGCCTCGATGTTTGACGGTTAAATCTTCTGGCAAGAACGTCCGATGCATCAAATCCGGCCCGCCTTTCCAAATTCTGTGCGATAGGCACTTGCGAGGCCTAGCCGTGGAAGGAGTGGACCGATCCCTTTCGCACTGTTCTTGGAATTCTGAGAGAGGGGCAGCTTTTATTGCCATTTTTCAAATGAATGCGCAGGGGGCTAGTTGGGTGTATACTGCGATGATATAATTAGGAACCGTGGCGATAAACTGGTTCGGTAATTTACACCCTTTGCGAACTCGTTGGTGCTACTGATGCACCGGAACTCCCGGACGTGCCATGCGAACTCGCATTCATCAGCTGAACTGTCAGCAGAGTATGGAGCAATGATTTGCATGAGGTCAAGCATTGTGATTGACTCAGAGTGGTGATCTAAGAGACACGTATACTGACTTGTGGTACCGTTTATCAAGACGGTCGACGGTAACAGACTCCAGTTCAGTTCAGAGGTGCATGCGAACGCGATGCCACATACGACTCGGTCGACCGATCAGGCCAGAAATGAGGGCAGATGTACAAAGTCAGGTCGAGATGACCAAATGTCGAGGACATGAAACGTCCCACAAAACAAGGGAATGCCCAGAGCGTCACCACATGTGTCTTTGTGGATAATCCCCAGCCTCCTAGTGACACACTACATACGTCTATTTAGTGTGTGTCACAAGGCGGTCCAGGAAATGAGCTTCTATCCCTTACAAAACGTAGGTTGGTGACAAAACACATCAGCAAAAACCCATGGGTATGAGAGTGGCCATCAGTAAACCGGTGAGTTCTTGCTGGGGATTATGCTGATTATGGTGCTTTTACATGGTCATATATTGCTTTATATCACTTTATATTACAATGTGACGAAAACCTTTCCTATATATTACGATATATAACGATATATGACGATATCTTCTTCTCACAGGTTCTCTGATGCTCCGAAGCATCGATGAATCTCTCGCTTGTGATTTGTGAAACGTATGGAATTCATAGTAGTTGTACAGCTGGCTAGTACATTACATGTGCAAATTCGCATTGGCCTCCTAGTGATGAGGGAACCCACTCCTGTAAGTTTATAATAGTTAAAAGACGTATGGGATGATTCAAGCATCGTCTTGAAAGCAGACACCATCATGAAGCTACGATGCGCTCTCTTACTATCCTGAAACCATGAAGAAGGCTATTGACGGACGCCCATGTCTCCATCGCCGAATTCTTGTCGATTGCTGAACAGAATGAATTCATCGGAGCCGTGTGCCAACAATCAAGATCAACCTGCTCGAGGTAGGGAAAGATACCGCTGAGGATGAGAGCTACGTTTAGTGGGGAAGCTATCAATGAATTGCCGAGGGTGAGGTCATTGAGATATGTGTTAAGGTTTTCACCGCTGGGACTTCTGAGATTGATGCCTTCCAGTTTCGTGGTATCAATGGCAAGAGCGAGCGAAGTCAGAAAGGGGCAGAGTCGAAGCACGCCTAGCAGCCCGTGGAACATTGGCACTGCAGTAGTATCGATTGCGATATAGCAGCTGATTTTGAGTACTTGAAGCATAGGCCGGGCTGCTACCATCTGGCACAGCTCCCCATCAGAAATAGACGTGGAACACCCCCTCTCAATCCGTAACACAATTAAATTGCGGAATGCGCACAATGGCGTGAAGACGGCCAACTCTGTGTGTATGACCTTCGATCCCATTAGGCTGAGGCGTTGCAGTTTCTTGTTGTCGCATATCTCTGGGAGGATGGCAAGGAACTGTGATAGTGACATAGATGGACTTTCAGAGGATTCCGCAATACAGGACGCGAAGGCGATCTTGATTTCTTTGCTCCTGATGACTTGGAGTGAACTCAAGAGGTCCATGGCTCGCTCGAATGCGCCAAATCTAAGGCACAAATAATGCAAATGATGAAAGCCAGGGAATGGCAAAAGTGACTGCCTCTCCCCGACTGACGATGTCCTTAGGTCCAAGTCCAGTGACCGCAGGGCTTGAAGCTGCATGATGTGATCCATGCCTGTGTTTGCTAGGTCCCATAGCATCAACGTGTGGAGTTTGTGAAGCTGGGAAATAGGCTGTGCGATGAAAGGGGAAAGTTTACTGGACGAGTCTTCCGTTGTAGGACGATATCTCAAGGTCATGCTTCGGAGGTGAGGACACAAGGTCCCAAGAGACGAAAGGACGGAGAGGAAAGTCGAGGAAGCTGAGGCAAACCGCAAGGTCAAGACCCGTAGGGAGGGTACAAGAGTCATGCGCAGGAACTCTGCAGCGAAGTGAGATCCACCGGCATACCATGTTAATTCACAAAGGTTTGGGAACAAGGACGCAGGTGCTGAAGGATAAGACAGCATTATCACATTGAGGGATACAATAAGTGCCGAGGGGTGGCTTGTTTGTTTTACAGTGATGGAGCGTACACGGAATGTATATTTGACCAGAGTATCCCACATCTTGTTGTCAAGAGGTTTCCGCAATGCCTGCCCATACGAACTTAGCCTGAAACTCACAACAAGTGTCAAAATTGGGACACACCATACATCCACGATCGAAGCCAAACAGGTCTGTTGGTAAACATCTAACAAGCGGCTCCATGGAGTGTAAATCCCTCCAAAGGACGTTGAGCGCTGGGCTCTGGAATGCACGACACGCGGATGCAAGTGCAGGAAGGGTTACACGTTCTGTATGCGAGCTGACGACGTGTATTACTTCAAGATTTTGCAAGGCTGCATGCATGACCTGCAGATGGAGAAGGAATGACTGTTCAGCTTAACGACCTTCCTGGACCGACCATGTAGTACTGACCTTGATCAGCTGAGGGTACTTATTTGTATAAGATCTTGAATTGTCGAATCGAATCATTCTTGTCAAATGAAGACAATCTCCGTCAGGCTGAGAAAGATCGCCATTGTATCCGTAAGAGGACAGTAGGATGTTATGGCGCGCTCCCAAATAAAGACATGTTTCTCTCGAGCGCACGTCCTTTTTTGCACATCCTTTCATGAATATAGTTTTTCTTGCAATGTGATTCATAACTGCGATCAGAATGTTTGTAAGCGAGCGTCTCTTGAATTACATAATCAACGTACATGAAACTTTGAAGCCCGAAGCCCGAGGCCGCCTTGCGAATGCAACATGTTGCGATGATATTGCGAATGCGCGCCATGGAAAAAATGAATTTCAAGATTCGAAGAAAGCCACATTTAGCTCTAATCTGATGCAGAAAAATTTCACTTTACCTGCGGTCGAGTCCATCAAGTTGCTCATCTCTTCAGGTTAAAATCATACAATTGCCAAGTGTTGATACCCGATGCCTCCTAGCGTTGCTGATTTACGGAACGAACCTAAACAGCCAATACAAATTCAGCTTGAAAGATGAACAGACGATAGTACCTGACCATTTTTTAACTGACCACCGAAGGTGCACTGAATCCTGACTATATGTCGGAAAAAGGTAAACGAGCTTTATAATACCGCCGGCTTAGAAGGCTGCTCACGTGCATTATAAGGGACCTTGTAAGTGCCATTTAAGGAATCGAAGTGCCTGGCAAGGCACATTATGTATTTAATATGTATTAAAATGCTGCCGCCTTACAAGATCGAACATGTGACCTTATCAGAACATCCCTCTTTGTTGCCACAAGGTCGCGCCATTCTCTTCTCTTCTCTGCATATCCTGTACAAACTGCATTGTCCATACTGTTAAATCAATGGCACCAAACCGTTCAAGCAGAAGTAAGTACAATTATACCCAAAAAACACTGACTAGTGGGTCCAAATGCCCCCACTGCGGCGAAATGTTCAAATCCCAGGGCTTCAAGCGGCATGAATTGAAGTGCAAGATGCGTGATGCGCAGGATCAAGAGAACTTTAATCGAGAATACGATCGAAACAAACAAACGGGTGAGTCATTTCCAATTTCATTCTATTAATATCAATCATTATTGACATTGATCATAATGGAACTAGCTCGCCATCAAGCTCGACGAGCCTTGACGGCAGTTGCGGGCCCATCGCATTCAATCAAGGTTGACCCTGGACCACCAGCCTCAGGACAAGGTATGTCAATCTGCTCGTGTTTGATCGCACTGCTCTGACACTTCCAAAATGATCTTTCGGCTGCACCTATAGGTAGTCCTTCATCGGATGGTCACAATGTTATGGAGTTCGATCCTGGAAATGAGGGTGTTCCCAGCCCAGGTACATATGTACTTACATCTTCTCATTCATCGATTGATTAACAATCATCTATGCTACAGTCTTATCCGATGCCAGTATGGCCACCAATGTTGAACCTCCACCTGTGCCCATTGAACAACCTTACGAATTCAAAACCGAATTTCACCCTCGCAGTGGTCGTCAAACACTCTATCAACGCTTCGAGGAGTTTGGCATCACTCCTGAGACGCAAGCGCTTCCTGCAGAGCAAGAACCATGGCGTCCATTCCAATCACGCGCAGATTTCGAGTTCTCTGAAATCACTCTCGACGCTGCTCTCAACAAGAACCAAATTGACCGGCTGCTCAACCTCATGGCCCAAATATCACAGGGCCAAGCTAAACTCACGCTGAAAAACGAGTCTGATTTGTGCAAGGCATTGGACAATGCTGCGGCTGAGCTGACACCGGTGTGTACCTTCCCTTTTTCTTCAAGATATTCATTTCTGACTATTCAGATTTTGTATACTAGTTTTCAAAACACGAAGTCAAGGTTCCCTACAAGAAGGAGGAACAAGTCTTCGAGGTACATGCGCGTCCCTTATGGGACTGGGCTCTCGATTTGTTGGATAACCCACTGTTAGCACCGCATTTTGTTTGGGACGCGCAGCGCGTCTACAAACATGATGGTACGGACTTTGTACGCTTCTTTGATGAGCCGTGGACAGGTGACTGGTGGTGGGACATCCAAGTATGTCACTATGTTTGATATTACTCATGTATATGTACAGTAACCATGTTTATGTTATCAGTCTCGCCTCCCACAAAACCTTGATGCCGCCCCCTTCTGTTTCATACTGTATGCTGACAAGACTAGGCTCTCTTCGCATGGCACTGTCAAAGGGTACCCGGTTGTGGCGCGTTGCGCAAATCTACCTGTCCACATTCGAAACGGCGAGGGGATTGGTGGCGGTCGGGTGGTCGGGTGGTTACCAATCGTGAGTCCCATTCGCTTTGTACATACTCTGAAATTGTTTCTGATATAATTACCCTCAATGGAGGATTTCGTCGTGGCATATTCAACATAGTCCTAGTAGATAGTGTCAGTAGTACCAATGACAATTCAATGAAAAGAAAGACAAAATACCTTGAGTGCAGCATCATAGACGAGGAATTCAGCGTCTATCATTTCAAGTGTCCGTTCTGTATGGACATCGAGCCCGATCAAACTATCCAATTGCAGGTAACTGCGAATGACATGAAGAAGGCGGTAGCCTTCTGAACTGACTTGGCACTTTAAAACACTGAGTGCCGCATAAAACACTTGCTTTGCGATAATCAGCCATGAAAATTCAGCATCCATGAATGTATATGTGCGTACCTTGACCAAGTCCCGCCTCTTGTTGCCATCACTAAAGGTGATATGGATGACAGTAGTGAAATGGGTGAGAGCACGCCATCGAGGGAACTCAGAGACCCTGGGAGCAAGGGCTTTAGTGGTGTCAATGACAGTAAAAAATGACTTACTGTGTTTCCAAATCGTCCTGTGCCTGACGTCCAAGATCAGCGAGAATCGTCTTCAACTCTCCAAGTAAATGTACCCCTCCTGTACCACCGTGCAGAGTGTGCAAGTCGTCCAGGCTCAATGCCTCGTGAGGATCGGAATTCTCGACAAGCCACAAAACATTCTGAACAAATGTTAGTTGATAGTAAAATTGAAATGAAAGAAAAGTCCACTTACTGCAACAGGTTTGTACCTGCCGTTTCCCAACTCCCTCGTGCTTTCGTCATTGCCCTCCTTCGTATCTGCCATTTCCCGCCTCCCTCGTGCTTTTGTCGCCCCAACCCAGTAATGCCTCGTGCCTCAGGTGTCGGGAGGGTCAAAGGGCTCTCGAAATCCATCATTTCCCATGGTTTTAGAGGGGGTCATCGCTATTCCAAAGTCCTGGCAGCCGGCAAACAAAGCCAGCGTATGGCAGAGGCAGATTCCAGCCGCCAGGCTGCTATACAAGGTATGTACTATTTTCTTTTTTTATCATTAACGCTTATTGTTGTATTAGAAATGTCAGCAGAGGACCGAAGCCACGTTGAAAATATGATGGCAGATTTTGGAATGGACGTGGAGGTGTTCACCCATACAGTGCCTCCAGGTGAAGAGGCCTTTGACCTCAGTCACGCAGGTGGGGAGCATGAGGCATTTGAAGACCTTGCTCATCAACTGGCGGATCTAACTGGATAGTACGTATTCACCACTGTGTACAACTCTTCAAATATTAACACCCATTGTAGTCATCACATTGATCCACGAATTCGGGGAGAACACATCGATACTCAAACCGCTCATTGGGGCCTTCAGATCCCAGCCCTTTCAAAACTTCCTCACCTTGAGTTCGGTTCTGTTTGTAAATGTTGAGTGCGGCCTGCGCATCTTTCGCAGACCTAATTGGAAACGTCTTCGACAGGTCGTGAAGCTTGTCAAGAGGGACGAGACAGACTGGACATGGGCATTTGCATTGTAAACCACGTATAAGCGACATCATGCATCTATTTATCATGATTTAGAACAAAAGTGAGACTCTGTAGTATATATAACTCACTGTTCCTCGTAATCTCCAGAAAGAATCAGTATGACGGGGCATTTCTTGCAGTGTTTAAACAAAGCGCTAAACTCCTTTTCCGTGATCCCATTGCCGTCAAAAGAGTCAAGTCTGGTCAACAATTCTGTTTGCTCCTTGCGATTCCACTTGAGTTTAACCGGTAAGACAACCCGCCGTTCTTTGTTCAGTTAATGAAGCTGTAGTATTTCAGTAAATTAAGCTCCTACCTCTTTGAGGGTACTGGAAGGTGGCTAGAGACGATAGCTGGAAGTGCATATCAATTTTCACTGTATTATGACCGTGAGTTTAGGATCTCCTTGAGCATGAAGAGTGCTAACCTTTGTATCCGCATCTATCTGATGCACATCTTGCAGTCCAGTCAATCCTACTTGCACTCATATCCTACCAAGGATACACCGCTGCCTCTACATACGCCCCTCTTCCACCACCGTCAGCACAGAGGCAGCATGGGTATTTAAATTTGTATCCATTTCGGTGCGTTTCTAGACTGGATGGCGGAATCTTATTTCCATCATGGTTGACCGGCCTGCATTATATGCAAGCAGCGTCATGGCCCAGAATTCGCACAGGATGCAAGCAACATCTTACCAACACCATTCAATCATGGATTCAGAGAAGCTGTCATAATGTAGGATGGCAAAACGGCAAGTCATAGCTTCTGCAATAAGTTTACCTAACCTCTGATAGGTTTCATGATGATTCGGAGGGGCAGTGATGATAGAGGAGGGCGAGGACGGGGCTTCCATTGATAAGTCAGTGCGGCAGAAATGTGCGTTCTATTGGGATTATATATGAGGCCACTACCACTACCTTGAACCGTGTCTGGCCTGGCCAGTCTTCCCTGCCGTCATTGTGTCCGCCAGGCCAGAAGTTTTGGGCTGTGGGAATATCGCGCTGTGATGGCGATTTTCGTAATCATGCTAGCCGTCTTTAGCGCCAATCAGTATAATAAATTCAGAATCAAACGCAGTCGTCCTTTCAACTTCTCATGGACCTGGAAGATTCATCGCTGACTTTACCTCCTTTCAGATGTAGCTGTACACGCCAGTTCACGCAGGAGAGCGCCTACACCAAACATCAATGTTCGTGCGCGAAGGGCAAGAAGCGGCTGTTTTCTGCTTTATCCAAAGCAAAAGACCTGTTAGGTTCTGCAAAACGGTCCAGAGTGGATGGCAGTGGCAGACCGTATGCGCACCTTAGCAAGATGCAGCCCCTCCGTTCATGTGACCAATCTCCATCCGCTGGCCAGGTTATTGCAGAGCCTTCAAGCACCGGCTCAACCCTGTCGGCAATGTGCCCTGCAAAGGAGGTTTCGTGTGCAGGCCTTTGGTCGCAAGAAAATGCACCTGCCTCGGCATCCAAATCTGATCTTGGTGCCATGACTTTGGACAACGATGAGAACCTATCGCTGGCGCAGAGAAGGGGCAGGCGTGTTGACGTTCCCATGCTGCAACGTTATAGGCAGTATGAAGACGTACTTCCACAAGCCCCTCCAAGTGTTCCGTTCGATCATACCATCCCAGTGCCAGATCCCAACCTACCAGGAGATCACACTGACACATCCACTGGCACTAATACATTGCTTCGAGCCCCTCCCTTCCATACAGTTCGCAATGTCTTTGGACTAGTATGCCAGTTCTTCTCATCCGTCCCCCCACATCACGACCCCGAAGAGGCGATATCAGCTCCGTTCCAGCTTTCACCTCCGATTCCCTGGTCGCGGATGGTGCATTTTACCCTTATCCCAATAAATCTTCTTTCGAATTGGGCAACTGGTACTGGAATGGCAGTGTGCAGAAGTCGCAGGAGGGTTTCAAGGAGCTGGTTGGTATTGTTGGACACCTGAATTTTGACCCTGATGACGTGCGGAGCACGCCATGGGATAGGATCAACTCAAAGTTGGGTGCGAGTGGTAATGACGAGGAGGATGAATGGGAGGATGAAAATGCTGGCTGGTGTAAAGCACCGGTGACCATCGAAGTACCCTTCTCTCGGACGACTGCCCAGCCAGGCACTCGAACTTACGTGGCAGCAGAACTGTACTATAGGCCTCTCATTTCCGTCATTCGGGAAAAGCTCTCGAATCCTCAGGACAATGAGTTTTTTCACTATGAACCTTACCAACTCAAATGGAACGCCGCACATCTTCCCCACGAAGTTAACATTCACGGTGAATTGTATACTTCGCCAGCATTTATGGATGCGCACCGTGAACTCCAGGAGTCTCCTGGAGAGGCTGGATGTAAGTTACAGCGTGTGGTCGTTGCACTCATGTTTTGGTCAGATGCCACGCAGCTGACAACATTTGGCAACGCGAGGCTATGGCCAGTATATATGTACTTCGGGAATGAATCAAAATATCGCTGTTGTAGACCATCGTGCAATCTAGGTAATCACATTGCCTACTTTCAAAAGGTACATTGGTCCTTACGAATCCCACTCAGCATTAAAGTTCATGCATTTGCAGCTTTTGGATTCGTTTAAGGATTTTGCGGGCACCTACACTAACGGCAAAGGGGTTGGCCGTGACTGCACAACACATTGCCAGCGCGAGTTATTCCAGGCTCAGTGGAACGTCTTACTCGACGATCAGTTTCTAGAGGCCTGCAAGCATGGAATTGTGATTCTGTGCTGCGATGGTGTCGAATGCAGGTTTTACCCACGAGTATTTACTTACTCTGCAGACTATCCTGAGAAGTGAGTCGTGGGCGTTATCTTTTAGAAGTTGAAGCTCATCAAAGGCAGGGTTCTTATTGCGACAATCCAGCAGATGGGAAGCTGTCCCTGCCCGCGATGTCTCATACCGACCACATGGCTTCAAAATCTTGGAATGAGCCATGATAGGCAGCAATGTTTGACGCTGGTACAGTCCGATACATCGAGGAGTCATCTGGTGACCACCGCACGCAGCCTCATCTACGAGAAGAACCTTGGCGTGGACAGTGCAGCCGTTGGGTCGCTACTCAAGCCAGACTCCTGGGTACCAACCTCGGTGAGCATGATCCATGTAATCAGTCTTACCTGCCGCCTTTACTCACTATTAATTAGAATGTTTTATTCAATTTGTTTGCCGCACTCATTGTCAACCTCTTGCACGAGGTCGAACTTGGGGTTTGGCGTATGCTTTTACTTCACCTGCTGAGAGTCCTTTTCGCCTTGAATAAGGACTTAATACACGAGCTTGATAAAAGGTGCAGCATATGTATTTGCTGAATGCCCAGTATACTCACCCTCACCTGACAGATATAGGCAGGTCCCCCCATTTGGACCCACGACCATCAGACGATTTTCAGCGAACACCTCCGAAATGTCACATATGGCTGCACGGAATTTTGAGGATCTTTTACAGGTATGTCTTGGGATGATTCCCATAGATCCGTGTGTACTCACCTTTTACAAGTGCTCTATCCCAGTCTTCGAGGGCCTTCTCCCCGAACCCCACAACAAGATCGTTATTGATCTCCTGTTCATTCTGGCACACTGGCATGGACTTTCCAAGCTTCGCATGCACTCCGACCTGACCCTAGACATCCTCGACCAGCAAACAACTGAACTTGGTGAGCATCTTCGTCACTTTAAGGCGAAAGTGTGCACTGCATACGCCACCCATGAACTTGATCGTGAAGCCAATGCGAGGTCTCGTCGGCAAGCAAAAGAAGCCACTAAATGCACGGAGAAAGGCAGGGCGAAAGGTAGTGGGGCTGCAGTTCCGGGGCCTATGGCAGGTGCCAGCCTTAAAGGGAAGCAGAAGGCAGTGCCAGAGCAATCACAGGACGCACCTTTACCAAGGCAGCCCAAGAAGAAGAAGTCGTTCAACCTTTGGACCTACAAGCTTCATGCGCTAGGGGATTATGTAGCCTCAATCCGTCGCTTCGGTACCACAGATTCCTACAGCACGGAGCCAGTAAGTATCAACCCTCTCACTGCTCGGTTTCCAACTCAACTGCCATCAGGGGGAGTTGGAACATCGTACACCGAAGGGCAGGTACCGTCGAACCGATCGAAAGACCTTCATTCACCAGCTGACGCAAATCGAGTGTCGTCAAGCAAGATTACGCTGCATCAAGCAACGGCAGTATAAACAGGCTTCTCATACAGCATCTAACGAAACTGCATGCGATCCCCAGCTCCATCATCACATCGGTCAAAGTGAGAAGGTCTTTGACGAAATTGGTCATTATCTCCGCAGTCATGCGAGAGATCCTGCTATAAAGGTAGTTGACTTGACTCTCTCACGGATAGCCATCATCCTGACGTATGACATAGGACTTCCTGCCTCAATTGAAGGACCATATTATTGATCGCCTTGACCCAGGGACTTCTGGGACTTCTGAATCTTTGTGCGAGAAACCCACCCGTTCTAACACAGAATCTAGTTCAATTCTCTTCAAACGGAACAGAATCTACCATCATAATCTCGCCAAGTTCAATTATACCACATACGACGTTCGACGGGCTCAGGATGTCGTTAATCCGAAGACTGCTCACTGCAATATCATGCTGCTCCAGCGTGGTTGCGATGATGCTCTCAATGGCAACTATTGTTATGCCAGGGTTCTTGGCATTCATCACGTCAATGTGGTTCATACAGGGAATGTGTACAATGCCCACCAAATCGAATTTCTTTTTGTTCGTTGGTATGAAACCGTACAAAGCCATGCTTGGCACACCCATACTTTGGGCCGGGTTCGTTTTCTACCTCTGGAAAATCCAAACACATTCGGTTTCGTAGATCCAGGAGACGTCCTTCGAGCGTGCCACATTATCCCAGCCTTCTCTCGATGCCAACACAACCAGAGTAATAGTATTTCCCCTCTTGCCGGAGATAAACACGATTGGCATGAATATTATGTCAACAGGTGAGCTACTATATATTTTTGCTATCTTTACTGATACCATAACTCTAATAGTTTCGTCGATCACGATACCCTCATGCGGTTCCATCACGGCCTTGGCGTAGGCCACTTGTATTCCCATAGGGTGGGGGTCTTTGACGTGGAACCACACTCTGTCAGTCAGACATCTACCCTGACCGAAGATGAACCTGTGGAAAATATCACAGAAGTCAATCAATGTCCAGTTGATGAAGAGGACGAAGAGGATGAGGATTATGTTGGTGCGGAGGAGCTGATACTGTTTGAGCAGGGACGAAATGAAAGCATGGAGACGGTGATAGACGCATTGGAAGAAATGTATGCAGATCACATATTCGATTATGAGAACTAAATCACAGCAATCTACCTAGCATCCTTGGAAAGGCCATTTTCCGTTGATTCCTGGCTATTTCAAAGTCTTGGTCATCGCTGATAAGTCCTGGCCATCAATGCTAATTTCTGGCCATTGCTGCTAACTCCTGGCGCGTGTGAATTTATGAACCTCGCCAGCCCATGCTAACTCCTGGCGCTCGTGTATATGAATCTCGCCAGCCCATGCTAACTCCTGGCCATCGCTCACTCGAGTCATCAATGCATCATTATCAACTTCTGGCGCTCGTGTATATGAATCTCGCCAGCCCATGCTAACTCCTGGCCATCGCTCACTCGAGTCATCAATGCATCACTATCAACTCCTGGCACTCGTGTATATGAATCTCACCAGCCCATGCTAACCCCTGGCCATCACTAATTCTTGGCCCTCGTTAATATTCGAACTTGGCCGGTTCATGCTAACTGCTATGATTATAAGCTAGCCTCTCAATATATAATCATTCGCGGCTACTTTTGCGATACCTCAAGCGACTCTTGACCGACACCGTCTGAACCTATTCTGCCTCTACCACACGAAGTCAGACATGCACCCTACATATATGTATGTCCCTGAGTGCAAGGAGGTCCTCCGGCTGGTACAACTTGCGGTATGTGAACTGTCTATGCTGAATACTGCCACTGATGGTCTCCCTCTAGCACGAGGAGGTTTGACACCATCTTTCAGCCATTGTATCAGTTCATAACTGGTGATTTCAGCACCCGTTTTCAGGGTTCTCGGGCAAATCCTTCAAGACCATTGGGTATTTGGCTATCCACAAAGACATATACCCAATATATGTAAGTCTCCATCTTTGAAACTGTTCATTTCACGTTGCTATTTCATAGGTGGACGAAACCTACAGGAAGGTCAAGCCGTGGCTGGCGGTAATAAAAAATATAGGGACCCTGGGTATCACCGACAGTGTGGACATCACCCGTACTCACCCATTGTTTGAATCAACGGTGAGAGCTTTGCAGTGCTGGAAAGTTCGTTTTTGAGATCACAGACCTAGGATGCTGATGGAGAATTCATCCGGAAGGAGGTAAAGGCCTCCTATTGTAGGCCGAATGAACTGGGTGAGCCAAGACCTATGTGGTTGGTGAGGATTTTTCTTAGTGCTAAATTTCTGTGTATTTATTGTGCTTTGATAGCTTGCCGAGCTATCGCATGCCTCTGTAAAATTCCACCCGCCATTATTTCCAGATGGGTTCCCACCCCCCGCGCATCCTGTTCCTGCAGAGAACCTAATATCTGCGTGCGAGATGTCACATGCTACCCTTTCGACTGCCAAAGTCGAGACACACCCACTGGCTCCTCCCGCACCCATCTCCGTTAACATGCCATTCACACCTCCCGAATCTCTTGAAATCCAGTACGCCTCTAGCGATGTGCAGGGTATGCAGACCCTCTATATGCAGGCCTACGACATGCCGGCCTTCGATATGCAGTCCCTCGATATGGATATGTCCCTTGTAGATCCTCTAGACTTGGGTAACCACATTTTCTGGCCACTACCCTCTGACATCTCCGCCAGCGGTATGACAGTACCTGATGTTTTTGAGGAACCTCATACTCTGGTTGGCGATCCAGCCCCCCCCAATTCGGATATGGATTTGTATCCAGAGCTAGCCTGGAAAGACTCTACTAATCTATGGGGGAATTTGGCCGAGGACGACAAAAAAAGATACCGAGTTGTGGTGCAAAAGACAAGCTGGGAGCAAGCCTTGAAGCTCACGAAATGCCTGTTCTTGGGCAGTCTGTGGGTCGGACTCCATGGAAATCCATTCAGGGTTTCAGTAGTGGAAACACAACGCCTCATTACAAACAGCTTTCTAACCTCTTTACGGATTGATGGCAAGATGTACTCACAGTTTGTCGAACGACCATGTTCATGCCTTGCGTTTTTTATGCTGCTTGTCGTTATCTTACCGTTTGATCAGTGGTCTTGCATCATACCACTATCGGGTGGTCGGTCATCTGCACCAGTGTGCGCTCTCCCTCATCCCTGCTCCAACTCATCCCTGACTTGTCGGTACAGCTAGTTAAAATGCTCGACAACGCGAAGGGTGAATTGCGAAAAGTCCTGAAGGGAGCCATGACCCACTATACTGGGTTTTGTGGTAGCTTGCCCTCGCATAGGAAAGAACAAATCATCTATTTCGTTACGCTTTTCAACTCAAAAGATCTTTGTGATGTAAGAGGCTAGATGCTCACACCTATAATGTTTTACCTCAAATCCTTTCGCCATCCAGATACAAAACGCCATCGCCCTATTTATAGGACTGCAAGCCTTCAGGGAACTGATCTGGGCAGCGTTGTTTGTCCCGATTGAAGAGTTGGCGCATGGCAAAGAAGATGGTAGGGTAGCAGACCTTTTCACCGAAGAGGTCTGCACATCAACTGGGTGCTTAGCGCAGGATACTGTGTGTAATCTAATGACACTCGTAAGTCCTTTCTCCCTTCGTCTCATTTCAGGCAATCACAAAAGCCTCAGGTATACAATACGATGGTCCTTATCTTGAAAGAACTACGTCGCAAAGAAGCCAAAAAGGATGATTATTGCCCAATGGATGACCCTAAATACGAGGCGCATGAGGTCATGAACGGAATCATCATGTCTGCGCTTGGCCCGATGTATGAAAACCCGTGCGAGTTTGTTGCCTTCACAAAGGAGGTGACGCACCTGCCCTTCATCACGTCAGTGTCGTTTGTTTGCTGCTAAGGTCACTTATTGTTGTCTACATTCAGGTGTGCGAACGTACTGGGTTTTGACCTGAAGAAACAAATTCCTCAAAAGGGCACGGTCGGGAAGAAAAGGGTGTTGAGATCTATGGAAGACGTTGTTACCAACATCAGCCTTTCTCAATCATCGTCCAGTGCCGCATTAGGTGGCCTGCCGAACAATGGAGGCTTTAGGTGTTACAGGTCATTCACAGATATTTCTTACTCCCTTGACTATTTCACACCTCAGCCTGCTGTCGAGTAATTTGAATAGATCATCGCTTGGATTTAATATCATCGTTATGGAACAGTCAACGCAGGTTTGACATGTGCAAAGTATTTGGCTTGCAGGGCATATTTTGGGAGAATACAAACAATGTGTTCGAGCACATCGTGATAGTGACTTTGGCGTACCTGAGTTGTTTACTTATTACTTCATCACGAAAATTTCAGATTTTACCCAATTTCGCAAGTTGAACTCGAGCAGCAGTATACTTACCCACTGCTCTTCCCACCACCACCACCACCCCTGCTACTTTACTCCAGCCTCTACATTCTGTCAGCATGGGGGAAAAACACAAGCTGTGAGCCTCGCCATTTTGTTTCTTTGCTAATACATCCTCTGTACATTGATCGGTAAATACTGACTGCAATAACCCTTCGCTTATTCAATGCAGAAACGGTTCATCTTATCATCCTCGTAAACACATATCTCATCCCTGCTCCCTTTGTGCCTATTCCCATGGCAAACGACCTGAACTCAACCTGGTGGTCCTCTGTTCAATCTGACTCATTTCTTGCGAATGGACCTCCAGCCCTTCCCCGACTTTTTGCTGCGTCGACCCTCTATTCAATCCCAGCCCACACCGATTTACAAAGCCTCGCGAACGACAGAAACTCCGCCCCCAATCCATAGCAAAAAGGGACAGATACACCCACGCCCAATGCACTCCTCAGTATTATGAACACGAGCATTAATACTCTCAAATGGGTCCAACGTATGCATGCGAATTTTGCTGCGCTCAACCTTAACGCAGAAGAAGGTGGCATGGGGGATGAGCCGCCAGATATAGGGGAAGAAGGCATGGTTGACAAGGTTATAGTGAGCGGCCGTGGCGAGCGAGATATGCTGGCCTTAGACAAGTGAAGGGACCAGTTGAACTAGAAGTCAGTGAGAAGAACGCAGACGAATGTCTAAAATGGATGAATCGGAAGGTGTTAGATCACGAAGGATTTCAAGGCTCGTTCCATATTCTCCTTTGCTCATCATCTTGTTTGATGTGATAGGCGGCTAAAGACTGGTGTACTTACTTTCACTTCATGTCCAGGGACATCGAGTGCTGCACTGGATGCGTTGGTACGGGTAACAGTCCGAGAATCTTCTCAATGTCGGTCGAATACTACGATTTATGTGCGACCAGTATGCAAAGAGTATGACGCTAGAGGTACCTCTCACCTTGTCCCTTTCGTTGTTAACTTGTAACTCACTAGTAGCGTGTTATAGGAAATCATCCTGCATACACTCTTCGAGAGTGGAGTCACAAGAATTCAAGATCTTGAGCGGTACATCAAGGACAATGTTGTCCGGCACGAGTTACGCCTGGTTGACCTCGAGAAAAAGCTTGTTGGAGCATACCGCGAAACTGTTAGTCAATCTTTCCTCTTACTCTTGGCTAACATCCCCACTACTTACCACATATAGAGACACAAGTAGAAATTCTCAACGATGATGCGCTTTTTGCTGGTGAAGACGACGAAAGTGCGTTTGTCATGGGTGGGTTTTCTGACACGCTTGGTGATAGTTTCCTCAGGTTATGGGAGCCTGGCATTGCTGCCAAATTGGGGTCATCGAGTCTCACTATCCCAAAGAAGCTACTCAGGGAAACTACGAGGAGCAGCAGGGGCTACTATCGAGTACGTCTTGTCTATTCAGTCTCCCGATTTGTTGTCTGATTTTATTCCACTCTTAAAGCAAAACCCAAAGAACCACCACCGCCATATCCACCACTGCCTCCCTTACTTCCTATCACGAGCAAGAATGTGGGCGACCAGATTGGGTTATTGCGTCCATCGCTTTGGACTTGCCGACCGCTTCTCAAATCACTGCATTTTCAAATTGGACTTTGCCTTGTGGCACTCATACTCTCATGTTGGGGCTTCCGGCGTTGTGCTTTTGTTACATCTGACATTGCTTTCCATGCTATATCAATATTCTCTCCTTGAGCGACATCCTATAAGTGCAGCAGCCTTGGGGCCTTTCTGGTCATGTTTTTTCGCGTTTTGATGCGGGATCTGTGTATTGCAAATAAAATGGCAATGAGTTTCCATAGTGCTTCGTGCACGCCCAACAAGTATTGTGTAGCACCTCATCTTACAAGAACACCGCTTGCACCAAATGTAACTTTCAGACTTCGTGTCGTATCTCCATCTATGTAACCATGTCTAGTACATCATGTTTGCACAGCAGGATAGTGATATGTTATCCTGGTTGTAGTAGAATCATCTCTATAGACCTTGTACTAAAGTGCAAGCCATATCAAGACACTGTCACGGTAGCAGACCACCAAATGATGCAAGCGGTAGGTCAAGAACGTAGCAGTGACCACTTGTGTTCACTGCGATAAACAATTTATAGCCTTTCGTAGCTCTATCTATCCAGGATCACACTTGTGTTGTTTGGCAATATGCTACCCTAGGCATATCGCAATTATAACTGATGACCATTTAGCATCATCATCACATGTATTTTGTAGCTCATGATTGCTACCTCGTTGGCATTGTAAGAAGCCATCATGAAGTCCGTCTTACGCAAAGGATGACCACTATTATGGAGAGCTGCTGGACTTCCTGCAACAGTTTATCTATTATATATCACAATTGCGAGACATATATATCTTCATCAGGATTATTTTCCTCTTCCACCTTTTTATCCTTTGATGCTATTATGCTATGATTATTTATCGTGTTATCTTCAGGTAGACATGTGATCTGAATCTGTCATCTATACCTTCTTCTCGCCGGTTTCCTGATGAGATGACCATTGGATCAGAGAGATGCCGGACTTCCTACAAAGGTTTATCTATCAAGCATCATAGTTGTGAGGCATTGTGAGACATATATTCATTCATCAAAGTTAGGTCTGTATTGCACTTTGGATGGCATTATGCTTTGCATATATATTCATTTGTCTTCGGATATAATCTGGTGGACTTTTGGTCCGAACTTGCCATATATATCTACAAAAGCCAAGTTCTCGCCGATTCCCTGATGAACCAGTACCTCTTGCGCAGGCTACTCATTCGTTACAACTTGTCCCAAAGTCAAGTCCCACATCAAACTTTGGACATGGATACTCTCCGACGAAGGAACCCATTTAAATACTCATCTGAACCCTCTGGATCCCATGACACATACATACTGGATGAACAAGGTGACGTAGGCAAACGTTTTCGTTGAGGTGTCAGAGATGTTGATTTCGTGATTGCAGAACAAAGCGAACTTATTGACAACATCAAGAGCCTGAATGCAACATCGAATAACCAGAACCGCATTGCGTTACAGATTACGCTCGCGCTGTCTTTTTTACTGTGAGCAACAATATGACTGCAATTGCAGTGACACAGATTCGACGTATATTATTTTACCAGGCATATAATCTACATCTCCTCTGACTACAACAGTCCATTAGTCGTTATCTTTCCACCAGCCGGCAGACCGGAGTCACCACTCTATCTAAGTCCTGTCTTGACACTCCTCGCGATCATCCTCCATGCAAACGCTGCTCTGCTCGCTCGCTCCCGGAATTTGGTTCTTGCTAAATGGCGAATAACGCCTCTTCCTTATAGCGTCGCGTTTGGGCTATCAGCAGTTTCTCCTGCAATTTCAGCTCTGAGCGGGAAAATGTGGCAGACCACAGCATGGTGGTGTACCGCCGCTTTTTTGACCTGGATCGTACGTGCATCAAATAACTGGATTATGCAGGAGCAACAAAGCATGTCTGAGCTCGAAAGAATGAAGTATATATCTGCTGGGGCGTAGATAACGTAAGTATGCTTGGTGATATTGGTTGCTTCTTTGTCCTCTAACTTACCATCGATTTCGCCAGCCTCGATGTGCTTGTGTACCACGTTTCTAGACGTCGTTGATCATCCGAGGTTCTATTACATGAGTTGGGACTATCTAGTAAGGATGTGAGTACAAAAACCTTGTTTGGATTACATCCTGAATGAAGTTCAGATACTATATGACCTGTAGTCGGTACAATATTACTTGGGGCTAGTTTGACGATGTAATATGCTTTGCCGCAACTGCAGCCCTTGACGTCACCTCAATGACCTCGAGCTGATTCGATCCATGATACTATGTAGATAAAAATCGGTAAATCGCACTTCTTGAAGAATGGGAAGAACTTACAAAATAAATTCTGTCCGCATCAATCCATATCCTTTCAAAACCACGATATCCGAATGTTCTGTCTTGGTCCAACATAACCTCGACATATGGCAGGGATGTCGTTAAGCTCTCCGCCAACTTGAAGCTCTCTCCCGTCCGTGACTCTGTGATTTCTATCGTAGATGGCTCTTTCATGACTCGTCCTAGACCTTGTCGACGCTCGACAGCTAACGGGCTGAAGTCCATCACACGCAATCTATACTTTTGGGGGGAATGCCAGATGCCAGTCGTCTCATCTGCAGGAAATGCCAACAAGACTCGATTTCCACCAACGGAAATATTGTAACGGCTCGGTGTCTGGAATACACGAGCATTCAAAGGGCCCCAGTTTTTCCACGGTATTGCTTCTAGTATTCCTTCAAACAACTTGAGATCGAAGAAAATCGTGGTGGAAATGATGAATATGAGACTCGGAGAGAATGTGACAATTGATAATAGCTGATGTTCAGGGTCCAAAGCCCACATCGTTTGTTGGGCTAGTTTCTGGGGTTGCGAGGTATGTGCAATATCATCCATTGAGTATATGCACTGTATTCTCGTCAGTGATACAGGCAACAAGAAGCAAGCCAGTAACTGCGGCGCCTTGGACGTGTCCTCGATTAAATAGAGCTTCATGTCATCACTAAAAACAAGCAACCTGTCGTTTCCGAGGAAGCAAAAATCAATTGCTTCCTCACACGCTGGGTTTATTGTAGCACTGAGGATGCTCTAAATCAAGTGTCAACAAGTCTTTCAACTATTTCGGACCAAAGCTCACACTGGACGTTGCTGAGTGCTGCCAGTCCCAAATCTGCAACCCCCATAGCCTCTCGTCAAAGTATTCATAAGTGATCTGTCGGGAGTGCCACAGAGCGATATGTCTTCCGAAACACTTGAGTTTTAATTTCCCCAAGTCTGTTGAAGTGCGATTACCGCTCGGAATTCCAGGCAGCTCTGATCGAAATAATGTACGTCCAATAGCTTGAGGGTGGATACCTCCCACATCCAGGGTCCCGAGGTCGATATAGATCCTCTCGTCATCCCACTGGAAATCATCGTCGACAGTGGCATACACGACAGCAATTAGATTTTGCGCTGGGTCCATGAGCACATCGAAGCCGTATGCATTGGGATCTGAACGTAACGACATCGGAGACCCATTACGCTCGATTGTGTATTGGGAAGGTTTCGGCAGTATTGAAAAAATTGTGGTCGAGTCATGATGTCGCTCCCACAGGCAAAGGTGACCATTGACAACCCACATTTTGTTATGAACTGGTATGGAGACTGTTTTGAGAGAGTGGATATCAAAGTTGAACCATGCGTGGGCGTTATCCCTCAGGAGTTGTAGGCGCTTGGAAATAGAAGTGCGATTGTCAGAAGTGTGAGGGATAGGGAGGAGATGTTGACCACCGAGCTCAACAATGTACTGAAGCTCGGAGCACGATGTGTACGCCTGGCGAAGGGCCTTGCATACCTGAAAGACACCTGTCAGTCCTGACAACATCGATTAGCAAATTATAGCTCACGAATGTACATCGAAGAATGTCTCGATAAGGAAGAAAACTCAGTATATGAGACTGGAGTTCTTCAGCAAGAGACTGGAGCTGGTTTGTGGGCTTTGTTTCCTGTTGTAACATCATTAGAACAATTTGAAGCTGAGCCGATCAGTCTGGATGCACTCCACAGGGCCCAAACACTTCCCCACAAACACAACGTCACGCACAGAAGGCTACTAGTGGCAAAGTCTAAGTCGATGTCGAGGTCTTTTCTAGAGAACAAACGATTAGCCTATGAAGAATTATTCGCGCAGAGGACACTGCGAAAGATTCGGCCTGGAAAACTAGAACAGTTTTCAACCGATTTATGTCTGATCGCTCATGGCATCCGGTAAGACTTGCCAGTAGTTGCAAAAACATATGGGTTGACATGATCATGATGGGCTCTGCAGTTCTGCTTGCTTAGTGGACACGTTCGCTGTGCAGGACCCCATTAACTTGTTTTCCCATGTGCTGGCTAACTTGCAGTCGAAGGTACGTTTTGATCACCGGGCACTCACTACGATTTATCGAAGGCGGATGAACCAGAGTGCAACTTTCGCTGACGTTGTCCATTGGTACGATCCTTCGTCACTTCAGTCGTTCATCGTAAACTCTCGCATATTGCAAGCCTTCGCTCGGACATTGTTGGAGGACAATGCGGCGGTCACATACGTTCTCCTTGATACGTTCCCTACACTGGTGAGTACTATGTAGACAACGAACGTAGAACACCTTAACCTCTCAATACTTCCTGGCAGCTGAATAGCACGCCAACGACAGTGCTGGACATTATATGCGTCATGAATGCAGACATGCTAGAATCTCAAGCCAATGTCTCATTTTCCTTCGTCGATGGTTTGACACAGGACAATCTTGTTCCTCTGGCTGCAACTTTGATCGGTTATCCAGTCGCATATGTTCCTATCTCGGCTAATCAGACTTCATTCCTGAGCCGACAACCTTTGGACGTTTATGAAGCAATGGTTGTCCCAGCGACGTCGTGTACATCTTCCTCACCAAGCTCTAATCAGTCGCATACTCTACTCAAGTTCTCCTGCCCGTGTCTACTTGCGGAGACGAACCCTGAATTATTTCCGGAACGCGTTACAAAACGCCTCCAATCGCAGTTTCGACAAAGCCTTTTTTCCATTGGGTCATCGCTCTTGGTTCATCATCACGTAGAGGTTATGGACCGTGTCGCGCTTTAAATATCTCTCCAAAGATGATGATGCAAAGATATGTAATCCTAATTAATCGACATCAACATTGACAATCTTGATGTCTTCAAATGGCTTGTCCATCTTATTCGTCTTCACGTTTTCGATATTATGAATGACCTCCAGTCCAGAGATAGCGCGACCGAAAATCGTGTGCTTCTTGTCCAACCATGGAGTGGCTGTAGTGGTAATGAAGAACTGCGAGCCGTTTGTGTTAGGACCTGCGTTTGCCATGCTGATGGTATACGGGCTGTAATGTAGTCAATCAACCATGAAATCTTGACTGAGCCAAGCGCCAAATAATTACCGGTCATGTTTCAAATCTGGGGAGAACTCATCTTCAAATTCCCTGTCCCAAATTGACGTCCCCCCTGTGCCATCGCCCAATGGGTCTCCAGTCTGGATCATGAACTTCGGAATGACCCGGTGGAAAATGACACCCTCGAAATAACCGCTCCGTGCGTGGCCCACAAAGTTCTCCACAGCTTTTGGAGATTGCTGGGGAAATAGGCGCATATGTATGTCGCCCATGGAAGTGTGAATCACTGCAGATGAAGCCAAAGGTGATGGTCCTGATTTGGTGAGGGCAGTCGCAGAGGCAATGGACTGTTCTTCACGCGTCGGCCGTTCATTAAAGACGTCTCTGTCGTGTATTTTGCTGTCTCTGTGATGCAGATATGAACACGTAGCAAGGTCAAATGGTAAAGTACTTACTCTGGTTCGGATCGGGTAAAAAGATAAAAACGCTGGCGTTTATACCCTGTGCAAAAGAGGGTCGGGTCTCGAATACCCTTGTTGGCAAGCATTGGATTTGCAGACGCTGTCATCGCCTATAAAAGTTGCTTGTCAGTGTTCCTCAATCATCAATAGGTACATACAGGTGCTAGCCCTTTCTTTGCAGGCGCTCCCTGGTACAATGCAAGGTTCATCCATCGAACTGATTCATCCTTTCCCTGTAGCCGCACAACACGGTTCGTCACCGTGTTGACCACTAAGAAACAGTAACATATCAGTTTTGAGTCTGCCAAACAGAAGTCACTCCCAACTTTTGATTCCGAGTAAGGTCGGATATAGGACAAATGCCCCACTTTCGTCCCACACTACATTGGTCGACATTGCAGGAATTCGTCCGTCGGGGCCTGGCATCTCAAGCTCCCTTTCCACTGCCAGCCGCCTACCAAACTCCATGTCCTCTACGCGATGGATTGAGGTACTGGCCTGTTGCATTTCCTGGATTGCTGTCAACGATTCGTCGTACTTCCGAGTCAGTTTGCCTTTCAAGAAGGAAAATATGCGGATTTGGCGATCTGGAAGAGAAAATGTAACAAAGGAAGAGGAATCGGGTGAAAGCGTTATGCAAGCAGGGACTGATTTTGTCTAGATAAAAGTCAGCGAATGCTACAAGATGGAAATTTTAACTTACCTTTTTGAACTCGTAGAGGTCCGTCGAAGACTTCAATGACCACATGTCTGGTATATTTCGTGGTGGCTCGAAAGGCTCAAACGGTTGCCAGTACTCAACGAAACCGTTTTCATCACCAGAGATCACAGTATCATAGCGGTCGCTGTACTGAAGGAATGACCGTCACATCAGGCGCTTCTTCAAATAGGGTAGACTCACTGTCATTAAATGCACAGGGAAACGATGAAGTTTTTCGATTGTTAGTAGTGGGGAATCATTACCGCGACCATCATAAAGCCGTATGGTACCCGTCCCTTGCTCCGAGCTATATACTGTGTTAGAAGTTAACCAGGAAATTGCACAAGATACTCACACAGCCAGCAGGCCTTGTGCTTGCCCTCGTCTATGTACCCAACAGCACGCATGAGGGGTAAACCCGAGCTTTATCATGTTTATCATGTCTGTTTACTAGTCAGCGCCAAGATAAATAAATGTGGGCCACTTGCGCACCGTAGTTGAGCACATCGAACACTTTTGCAGACCCATCTTCCGAGATACTGGCAAAAAGCTGTCCATCTGCACTTGATGATACTCCAGTTATGGGGCTCATGTGTGCACGGAAGTGTTTCACAAATTCGATGCCCTCGTCCTGCTTCTTCCAGAATTTTAGATGTCCGTCAACCGACGTAGTGATGATAAAGTCTGTCCTGTTCCGAGATTGAGATACTCGCTCCATAGATATTCTCTCGGACTTACTTTGTGACAATAACGAAGCTCAGGGAGTCACGATGCATGTAGCTTTTGTAGTACTGTTCTGCATCTGGGAGGTGGTCAAGGTACAGTTTCTCGTGAGGGACCACTAGCATTGAATTGTAAGTCAATGATTCATAGACTGATAATCGTGCGACTCACCTCTGCGCTTCCTTTTGAATCCACCATTTGCGCTCGCAGGTAGAGGCATAGGACCAACATCATCATCGCTGTCGTCCTGGTTTATGGCTGCGTCGGCAGCTGGCATGGGACTATCTTCACCATCCTGCAGACGACCTGTATCATCGTCCGAGTTTCTACCACGCTTTCCGAGTACGGTTATATCCTGCTCTGTGTCAGACATGAAATCCAGTGACCGTAAGTAACCAGTGAGCGAGAATGAGAATTCCCCCACGTGATTGTTCTCAATGTGGACGCGTTTGTTTGGATCCAAAGCCTTTGCCAAACAACCGCTACCTCACAAACCACGTCTCAATAACATGTCTGACAGCCCAGATGACTTCCTCAACAGCGTCGAAGGGGAGATTGCTTTCTTCCGATCAGTAATGAAGGCTCGGCCCGTTGGCCTCCACAAGCATTTTCACGTATTAGCCATTCGCAATGCAGTACACAATGAAACTGGTCGTGTACTACCCGTCGAGAGTATTTGGGCAAAGTTGAAACTCTGTTATGATCTTGATGCACTAGAGACAGCGGTGAGCTGCACAGCGCTTTCAGTTTTGTTTTTACTTGTCTCAGTATGCGCCAGGAAATTGATGGTTTCGACACGCCAACCTCGAGCCAGAATTCAACACCACACCTCGTACGATCCCCTTCGCCTTCTCAGAATCTCTCACGACATCCTTTCTTTCGAGATGAATATTCTCTTCCTAATGATGATGCTTTCAATAATATCATCTCAGAGCGTCGGCTACGTGCAACGGCCTCCCTTCCATCTTCAACGCCTGCACCATCCCCGCGCCAGCCCAGTAAACCGAAAAAAACCAAGACCACGAAACGTAGTAAAAGCAAGGCGGACATGGCTGGCCTAGTAGGTGGCGATAGCGACAGCAGTGCGCTCACGCAGGAGAGTGGAGACGAGGGCGCTGGGATCACCCCTAGCGTCAGTCACAGGCACGGACGCAGGCACGGACTATGAAGAGGACAACCCGGACGTGCAAGAAACATCACCTGGTAAATTCTTCTTTTCGCTCCTCCCTTATTCTCGGCTGATGTATACAGGTCAATCAAAAGTGGGACGAGGGCGTGTCAAGCAGCTTGCTCGAGGAGGGGCGGTAGGACGAGCCAGGGCAGGGTCAGCGAGCAATGCCCGGGGAAGCAAGAAACGAAAGAAGTAGCATTTCGTGTTCATTATCATATTTGCTTATCATGCCTCTACCCGCCTGCTCTAACGATGACAGGCATACCCTTACCAGAGGTGCAATGTTGTATTCAATATTGTAAGTGCCGTTGCCAATACTAACGCCGACTTTAGCATTGCGAACACAGGTGCATTCGATTGAGGCTGAGATACAGGCAAGTTCACTGTTGCCCACTTCAACCAGGCAGACCGGAATGGGCAGGTTCATGAACATAGAAGACGGACATAAACTTTAGCCAAAGTTATGCATAATCTACATACGTAGATGTTATCTTCTACTCGTGTCTGCAACAGACGTGTAGGAGAAGTGCGTTCGTCTCCTCGACCCGGTATCTAATCTCAAAGGAACTCCTGAAAAAAGACGATTCATATAACCTGATGCAAAATTAGCGACACAGCATTGATATAATCAATCTACGGAAACATCCATCTTCACAATCCCCTCTTCTATTGTTGACCGCTTGTTCTTTCTCTCGGCTATAAACGCGTCGATCTGTGCTTTAAGTTCCACATCTACCCATATCACGTCAAACTTGGCAAATACGCATTACAAAAAAAACGTACTGGGGATAACATCCTCTACCACCAACGGCACCCGGTTGAAAGGATCTTTGGAGTCAGAGAGCAGATGAGACCGAATAGTCGAGCGGTCTATGACGACGCGAGAAGATGGAAGCGTGACTGGATCACGCATGATCGTGGCCATGAGAGGGTCTGATGAATTCGCCGTAAGCCTTTTTCCATGACGAGGTACAAGAGAAAAAAACCAACCTAAAAACTCATCCGGTATCTCACCCAAATCTTCCTCCGCCTCAATCGTAGTTTTCATCTCCTCCACCTTGGACACAAAAGACCTCACAACCCCAATCTCAGTCTCGGTTTTCAACGGCACCCGTCTAGCAGTCTCCATCGCCGCCTCAAACAGCTCCTTCCTATAACTCCTTCCGTCATTTGCAACAGCTCTCACAAACTCTTCTTGATCACTGAGGTTGATGTACACTTGCAGAATATCGCTCAGGAGCTGACGGGGATTGAACTTGTATTTCTCTGGGTCTTGCACCCTCAGCTCGCCGCACTTGGGCCCAACGAGCGCATCGAGGTTGTAATCCAGCATAGCCGCGAGTTTGTCCACGATTTCGGGCATCATGAATGGCCCCTTAGTTTCTGCTGTGAAATCCTTCAAGAGACCGACGGTGGACCTGCCCAGCGTGGTATACCCAGATGCATGTCGCTCGAGGCCGCGGAGCGCACCTTCGCGTTCACGTCGGTACTGCTGAGGACGAGCGTTCCAAGCGGTTTGATCGCGCATCTCTGTCTGGATGTTGTGGATCTGCGTGAGCTCGCTGAGAGACTCATCCATGAGATAGGTAACGTCGTTGATCATGAGGTTGATGAACCGGATAAATTTGTCGACATTCCTGGAGGATAACATTGGTCTTGCGTGAATATCACGAGGGAAAATAACATACTGAGCTTCCTTATTCAAGGCATCTCTGTGAACAGGATTATCCCAAACCGCTTTCAGAATGTAAGCGATATTCCTCCTCGCGTCTGAGATATCGATGTCCTCAGATTCTATCAATTCATGAAAAAATCTCACTCACTGAATTTGTCATAAAACTGCGAACTAGCACCCGTTTGTTCGACCTCTGAAGATATCATGAACAACGTTCATCCAGCTTTTGACGACAAGACATACCGATATAGAAATGAGTCAATGCCGGTATCAAGTTCTTGAGCGCGACGGGATGCGTGTTCAGCGTGTGTCCCAAAATCCCGTGTCTGTCATTTGCGTACGGCAACACACCATAAAATACCGCCTGTCTCATTCCCAACGTCAGCGATTTTTTTACGGCAGCAAGCGAAGGGAGGAAACGCACCTCGTTGATCTTAGCTTTCAAGAAAGGGTTCTTGATGTACCATGTCGAAGTAAGGAACGTCAGCGCAAAGATCACAAGCTCGTCCTTCCCAGACAAGTCAAGACTCTCTGGCGAGTGCCTTCAAGTCCATCAGCTCCCATGCGCACTTGACAAGAGTGATAAAAACATACCGCACGACAAACAAAAAGAACTCTACCACATCCTCAATAATAAACTCCGGAAGGACTCGGAATGTCATCGGAACGTCCTTCGAAAGGGGCAATCTATTGCGCATCAGTCATCACGCCAAACAAAACCTCTCAAAAGCTGAGAAACGCACTCAACGACGGGATTCGGATGCGTCCCCCGCGGATCGACGCTCCGGATCAACCAAGTCGACGCAAAGCTCGTGAACCCTACATACCGGAACACGAGCTCAGGATCAAGCAACTGGACACGGTACGCAAGTTGTTGAGATTGGATCTTTGACATTTCATTCTTTTTTTTCGTACAAGATATTGTTACACTCAAGCCATGGGTTAGAGTGCACGAGAAAATACTCACCTTGACGTTCTCGATGGTGGCTTGCACGTGCGCTTGTTGAGGTGTCTACAGATACAACATGAGTTCATTATACATAAACGGTAGAAGTGATCATCAAAGAAAAAATACGCACCCCCATCCACGACCCATCCCCAGCAATCATATCATGGTGCCTTTGGTAATCATCAAGTGTCTTCCCCAAGTCTTCGTACACCTGTATCGTGCGTATGTATCCATAGTGTCCCAGTGCATTGCAGAGATAGAAAATGTCGGAGATGAAGTTGAGCGTTGCGGCTGAGGCGATTAAAGTAATAGTGTTTGGGTGAGGCGTGTGCGAGCACATAGTTGCATTACGTGTTGATTTATTTTGGTTTTATAGAGGATAGGCATCAGTAGGAAATCGTGTGCTAAGGTGTAGAACACCCACCCTTCGACTTGCTCTCCTCGACCCATTGCGCAGCTTCATCGCTTGTCGCTTTGATCCTCGTCTCCTCCTTTAGATCGATTCGGGTAGATACTGAAAAATAATAGGGATCTATGCGGTTCATCTGTGGTCACAGAGCAATACACAAAATGTGCACGACCACGCAATGACGTTTACAGTAGTAGAAAGATAGCAGCAAGATGAGGGAGACTGGAATCCATTGAGAAACTAAACGAACAAACCTTTGTATATCTCGCGTCCATAAAGGGCTCCGCGAATCTCAGCAACACGCTCTGTAGATTGACCATGAAGCTGTCCGACGCGACGGTATCAGGCTCAACCTGCACATGTGTTGATTAGCATCCCACTGCGCAGGAGGAAAAATAATCGTACCTGCATTCCTGCGCGTTTTACGTTGAGACGCACTACTGTCGCAAAGTATTCTAATACCCGCTCACGCGCTTCGGGAGATGTGCGCACGAGGGTGTTAAATATTTGAAAGAGGGAGGACTGAATCACGGGTGCAAATGAAAGGACGCGAAGATGAGCAAAACCATACAAGGAAGTGTAAACCAAAATCACTCACCTGCAAACTCTTCAACGTCCCTCTCAAACTTGCATTCGACGAGTCCACATCCGCACGACTGCGTTTCGTCGGGTCGCTAAAGTATATTTGCGCAATACCTGGCTGTTGGTGTACGACGTATGTCAGACACATCATCATTCACACGCCTCACCGTACAATACTCACCCACTCCCGACTGAACGTCCCCAGCCTAAGCAGCGGGCTCATAAGAGACAGCCTCTCAAAGTTTGCAGCCGTCACTTCCACCCCGAAACCCTCGCCGAGCCATTGCGGCATTCTCGTGATCATCTCTGCGATGGGCTTTACTCCGACGAGGGCTTCCATGCCTCCTATGACACCACGCCATGCGGAGTCCCCACCGCTTCCACCAATGCCCTCCGATGGTATGGTAAGGGTGTGCGCGACGAGAGTGTGGACGAGGGTGCTTAGCGTGGTTAAAAGTTCATCCTAACGAATATATAAGTTTAAGCTGGGGCTTGAGGAGCAGACAATGAACGTATGTGTTCTACGATGAAATGTTTTGAAATAAAAGTACACGCACTGGGTCTGCGAAGCGAACGACAAGGTCCTGCAAGAATAGCTGAACCTCTGTGGGAGCTAGCGTGGTTTGAGACGTGGCTTGTAGATGCGTACAGAGGCGTAGATAGGGCAGAGAGGGAGAGCAAGGGTGAGAGTAGCTCGCGTGACCCAAGAGTTGATAGTGGACGACTATGCATTCAAGAGAAGGCAAAGTTGGGACAGGTGAAAAAGGAAAAGAGTAATTACTGAGCGACGCATCAATTAGATGGAAAGAACGCACTCAGCGGGTTGTGGAAACATCTCCGGATCCTGCAGGTTAAGGCCTATGTAACTGATAATGAGGTCTCTGAGCTGATTCAGGAGTGCGGTGGCTTGCTGGGTTTCAGAGACGGGGTTCTAGAATCTTGTGAGATGATTTATGAGGGTGTAGAAGAGTGAAAGCACCTTCTTGAGTAAAATTGATCTGGCAGTGTTGATACGCTTCCAGCAGCCTACAAGGTACTCGAAAACGGACTGAGGAGGGAGAGAGGCGAGCACTGAGACATATTCGAGGTCGTCGCTGTATTTATGACTTTGTTAGTGATCACTTAGGACTCAGGCGGTGATCAAGCGCAAACGTTTGAATAGGATCAATGAGATATGAATGTGAACGATAAAGGGCGATCAAAGGAAGAAACTTACGACATGGCCTGCGCATTAAGCTCGAGGCGAGTGATGAGGAGTCGATCCACGATATCGTTCGTAAGAGTCATATGAGCTAATAAAGCTACATTAGTTAAACAAGTGGATTTATAGAAAAGACGTACGGTGACCCTCAGACTCGAGCTCAACCTGAAGATGCTTGAGCCACACGAGATCATACTCGTTTGCCTCTGCAGTTGATTTCTATTCATTGATGAGGTACAACTGCTACAGCAGAGAAGTGAAGAGCATACACTAAGTGTAACCTTGAGGACTGTAGATATTGTGTCGTTCTCCCATGTCTGATAATCAATTTTGGGAGCAGGTGCGGTGGGCTTCCTCTTCACAGAAACATTGCGTTGAGGGGGCGGGGTTGTTGATTGAGGTGGAATAAAAGGAGGTTTTGGTTTTGGTTGGGGAAGCTGGGCTATGGTGGTTGAAGGCCCGGGAGAGGCAGGTGAAGGAGTTGGTGAATTAGACGTAGATCCTGCCTGCAACTTTGCAAGGCGCTTTGCTCGAATCTGTTGCACAAACGATCAATTATCTTCACCATGAATAAATAAAGTAACCATACACGATCAGCATCAGTGGGTTCGCTCATCGTCCAGATCGTCAACCGTAAATACTGAACACTGCCTAGCAGATGCCCTCAGGCTTTAAATCAACACGTGACTAGAGTCCAACTTTATCCCCTTTAAGCCGTCTCCTTGATTTTATCACGCTCTTCGATTCACGAGCGTTTCGGAGAGCGCTCACAGAGACAAAAGCAAGAAAGAGTTAATATTTTGACGTATCAGTTGCTTTCGCGCCGATGATCAGCCGTCTATTCGAAGTAAGTATTGGTATATTTGAAGTAAAAGTACTCTTTAGGCTTTTTTTTTTTAGCACTGACAGCCCTCTCTACCCAAGCACGCAGTACGTATTGTCCACCCTGGTATTTAGTTATAACTTATTGTACATCCATACAAGCGCCAAAGATTCCACCACGGTAAAAAAGGCGAAAAGTGATGGTCGAAACTCCCGACCGTGTCTGGATCATTGTGATTTGTGGTTTTTCGCATACCTCCACGCGAATTCCATCAGTATTGCCCCAATGCAGATGGCGTATATGACTAACCAGAGCGCGGTGATGACGCGGCAGACGGTATTCTGGAAGTTAAAGCCTGATATCAACATCGCTGCGCACGAAATAGCACATGAGGACTCAGAGAGAGCACTGAATTAGCGGAGCTCACCGAATATGAAACAATTCAGGGATATGCCAACAAATAATATGGGCATGATGATTGATAACAGGTAGGAAAAAAGGAAGTAACCGCCTGTCCTAAGTTGCTGATAAGATGTCAGCCGATGTCATGGGTAAAGCAGGAATGCTCTTACTTCTCGACTCCACTGCTGATCAGTGTGTAGCCAGCGAATCATACTCAAACCAGATGTCAACACTGCAATCATGGCCAGCATGAGTGACATGAAGAGTAGGAAATAGGTTGCAAGTGTGGAATAGTTAAAGTAAGGCACAGGAGAACCTGTGGACACGAAAACGCCACTTGTTGCGAGAAGCAGGCTCGCCTTGAACCATGTCAGCGGCTGTTTGAATTCGGGGAGTTGAATAACTTACTACGGAGACAGTGTTGGACAGGATAGAGCATAACTTTTTCCTCACGTCCTCAAATTCTTCTTTGGATTGTAGGGACTCCCAGTGGTCTTCGAGATCAGCGCGTCCGAGTGCCAAAAAAAAAGTACTCTCGTGAAAGAAGACGCGTCACGAAGAGATGCAGGGATTGTTTGCTCTTCGGTAAGTGCTCTTGCATCAGGGGTCCCGTAGAACGTGCGAACTTCTGAAATAATCGTGTTTTAATAGGTTTAAACGAGTTGAATCAATAATCGCACTCGGCCCAGGCCGAGTCCACTGGTCTGTGCGCACCTTCGTCACGTCTGACGTACACCTGTGACCAGGTCTCCTAAACGTTGGTAGCACAGACTTCTAGATGAACTAATCTTTCGTCTTCGCGGTCATCCAACGTTGAGCACCATCTGCTCGCGCACACTCTGCGCCATAATTTAAGCTATTTATTGAATTTCGTTTTACAACTTCAATTCGGTCATAACCTCCATGTCCAGTTCGCAAAATGTCTCATCTAACACTCTCTCTGGACCCGGACAAGAAGGGTCTTCGGCTCAAACCAACCCTTCAGGATCGTCTTTATCCCAACAAGAGTTGGTGGAGAGGTGCCTCAACGTTGTCGAAAACTACAAGCATGCCATCATTTCTAAACAAGAAGCTTTCATCTCAATCACGAAGGCTATCGCATCAGCATCAAACGAAGCCACGGACCAAGCGGAGTCTTTCATTGCGACTCCGTACTTCGATATGCTCGAAGAATGGTCCAGAGATCTCGACTTGGCCAGAGGACAGCGGGGACCTGATGATATGCGATGGTCTGAAGACAGGGAATCCATCCCTCCTAGAGAGAATGAGTTTCAGCGAGAGCAAAGCTTTGAGCGAGGAGAACCTGCTCGAAAGCGCTCAAAACTCGACCTTACCTGTCTCAAACGTGCAGAACAGTCTTTCAGTGGAGGACAACTCTCAGCAAACCTTACACGCACTAACGAAATCCTCCTCAACTGGTCGCAAGACTCAAAAGAAGTGCGACGTCAGCTCATGTATCACCGGTGCTGCCCCGAATTTCATGAAGCCGGATGGGCAGAGATCGTTGCTGGAAAGAGTATCAACCTCGACACAGTTCACTCCATCATTTCCTCCTCGCGTACCATTGACAAATGCACAGAAACACTCGGAGACATTGAGATCAAATTCTCTGGAACTTCGGAAGCAACTTCCAAGAAAATCACCTCCGCTGCGCAATGGTCTGCAGCATGGAACAGAGCTGCCAGAGCCATCAAATTCGCGTTCCCTCATAGAGAGGATGAGCTCGCCTGTTACGGAGAATATATTAATGACAAATTTGACCGCAAACTCCAGCGGATGCATGAAAGGATCATCAGATTCGACAAAGCTGTCCGGAATAGAGCTGCAAATTCACGAAGAGTTGAACTCTCGGACTTCGCAGCCTTTACCGACCTCTATGAATCGCACTTCCAATCCGACGGAGTCCACTTTGACGAAGACAAGCAGTCTTCCAAACTCGGTGCATCTGCACGAGAGAAGTCTGCCTTCAGCCGTCGTGAGCCCTGTCGTAAATGGAATTCAGGTGAATGTTCCCGCAGCGCTCAATCATGTCGTTACGCACACGTCTGTTCACACGAACAAGATGGGAGACTCTGTGCACGTCGGCACACGGAAACGAAGCATCACGAGGAGTCTAAGTCCAAACTCACTTGAACCGTCGCTTAAACGTCCGCGTCATAGGCGAGGTTTGATCTGGTCACCTACAGATATATCTTTCAGTCCTACCGCACGGTCCACGGAATACGCAGAACCTGTGCCCATGCCGCCATTGAATGAAGTTGAAGGAAGTGATGCTGCTCGCACGATTGCGGACAACCCTCATTTGTTTCGCATTGTGACACCCATTAACGTTGACCGCTTTGAAATGTTCCTTTCAGACCATCCAAACCAACCGTTTGTTGAGTCTGTATGTCGGGCGTTACGTCTAGGCTTCTGGCCGTGGGCTGATACCTCGGACAGCTCGTACCCTTCCATTAATGACAATTCTTCTCACACATGTTCAAAAACCGACGACCAACTACAATTCATTGAAGATCAAATGCGCGAGGAAATATGTTTGGGCCGTGTTTCAGAAAGCTTCGGTACCAAACTTTACCCGGGAATGTATAGTGTGCCGATGCACACCGTACCAAAACCTAACTCGGATAAGCTGCGTCTGGTCGTTGACCACACAGCGGGTGATTATTCACTCAATTCTATGATTGAACATGACACGATTAAAGGGTCGAAACTCGATGGATTGCATTCACTTGGAGCATCATTGCTACGTTTTCGCGAGCAGCATCCTAACGTTGAGCTAGTCATGTTCAAATCTGACATATCGCAGGCCTTCCGTCGTTTACCTATGCATCTGCTATGGCAAGTCAAACAAATCCTGACCGTGCACGGTCAACGTCACGTCAATCGGAACAATAATTTCGGGGGTAGAGGGTCTCCTAAAGTTTGGATCTCTTTCATGTCCCTAGTCGCCTGGATCGCCATTCATCGCGTACTCATTGATGCTCTCAAAACGTATATGGACGACTCCTTCTCGTTCGAAGTCGCCGGACGGACACTATACTATGCGCCGTATGATTGTCACTTCCCCACAAAGCAAACTCGGTTGTTGCAATTGTGGGATGACCTTAACTTACCACACGAGAAGGCTAAACAGCTCTTTGGGTCGACTCTAACGGTTATAGGATTCAATGTCGACCCAAATGCTATGCTGGTCACGCTGCCGGAGGAGAAAAAGGACGCTCTGGTGACAGAGTTACGGCGCTTTGCTCGCAAGAATCACCGTTGGTTGTTACGTGAATACCAACGGCTCGCAGGATGGTGCGAATGGAGCTTCAATGTGTTCCCTCTGTTAAAACCGGGATTGTCGGTGCTCTATGACAAGATCTGGGGGAAGTCAAACGCGCTGGCTATGATACACGTCAACAACGCGCTACTTGATGAGCTGCACTGGCTCGCAAACCATGTTGAACGTTCTGACGGACTTTACTTGTTCAAAAGTTTAGACTTTAACCCGGCGAGTGATGACGTCGCAGTGATTTACACTGATGCTTCGGGAGTGGGATTAGGATTGTGGTTTCCAGACGACCAATTTGTGTGTCAATGCCACCTACCGGTTGAAGCTCCCCGCGACACCATATTCTTCTTCGAAGCACTCGCTGTCTGTTCGGCTATCCACTCAGTGGAGAACATGACAGAAGTCCCAGGCAAACTCCTAATCTACACCGACAACTCAAACACCGTGGCTATGTTCGACTCATTGCGAGCCAAACCTGGCTATAACTCTTTGTTATGATCAGCGGTGGATGTCCTACTTAAATATGGAGTAGATCTGCGTGTGCAACATATTCCGGGACAACAGAATGTCATCGCAGATGCGCTGTCCCGTTTTCATAACGAGCTCGTCATGGACATCATTCCGACAGCTGATATCTGCGACTTCGAACCCCCTCGGGATGCGTTGGGGGCGTCGAGAACATGATCTCGAGTGAGACACGGTCCAAGCAACCCTTACGGGAAGCTTGGACACTGGAGCGGTTGGAGCTCGAACGGTCACTAGCTCTTGGATCTGCTATCGAATCCACAACCGCTTCGGCATATGATTCGCATTTGAATTCTTACCTTAACTTCTGTCGGCTTCACAATCGTCCAGTTGAACCCACGCAAGACACGCTCTCCTTCTTTGTCGTCTGGCTATCACATTACATCGAACCGCAGTCAGTAGATTCGTACCTTTCGGGGATCGTTAATCGTCTAGAGACGCACTTCCCGCACGTGCGCGAAGCGCAGAAGTCATTACTGGTGACACGAACGCTGAAAGGATGCAAGCATCATCTCTCAAAACCAATCCAACGGAAACTACCATTGACTGTTGACGATCTTGAGGGCGTCATAAATGCTCTCAGCGCGTCAGA